AAAATAACGGCCGCGGCGCCCTCTCGAGAACCGAAAACGGCCAATTCCCTAATCGACGTGTCACTGTTAGGAGGTCTGTCCAGCCCCAACCTCTAGGCCCCCGAGGGAGACACCACGGAGTGACGGCCTCCTCCGCGGGGGACGCCTGTGCCCTGGGCGGCTGGGAGGCGGATGCGCCCACTGTCGGGTCGGACGAGAGGAACGCGCCGGCAGAGGCGGTGTGCTGGCGAGCCAGCTCGTGATGCAGCTGGTGCTGCCGGCGCCTCCCTGCACTGAAGACGTCGGTGTCGGGAGCGGCCAAAATGGGGGTGTCCAAGAGGGGGGGGTGCAAATCATGACCGGCGGCATGTGCGCGGCCCAGCGGGGGGGCCAGGGACGTAATGAAACAAGAAGAGGCGCCATGAAATCTAGGGAAATATCATGGCCCCCGCCATGATATCCCCCCCCTAGTCATCACCCCCCTCTTTTCCGCCCCCGACGGTGTATCGAAGAAAGCGCCCGGCGGCAGGGCAGAACTCAGCTGGTGAGCGTTTTCTTGCTCGGCGTGTCGACAGTGGGCAGGACAGAGAGGGGGGGGAGGGGGGCGGTCTGGCTCCGGACCTCTGCTTGATGGGACTGTTTGCAGCAGTGCGTCCTGTGGGGGAGGCTCCAGCTGCTCGAAACAGGCACCATCAAGAGCCAAAGTCTGCTCTACAATGGGGGAAGGAGAGGGGGGGAGCGCGAGCCCCCGCCGCTCGGCAAAGCAATGAAAAAGAAAACGATCACCTGCACGAGACGGATTTCGTTGCTCCCCCTCCTGAGGAAGGTTTGAGAAAGGTTTTTAAGAGGACTCTTCTGACAAAAAAACCCTCCTGAGGAAGGTTGTAGGAAGGATGTTAGGGAAGGTTCTTCCAAAAATCCCTCCGGAGGAAGGTTTTAGGAATGTGTGTGTTAAAGGATTCTTCCACAACAACCAAGCCGAGGAAAGTTTTAGGATGCATTTTTGGTTCTTCCAGGAAAAGCCCTTATGAGGAAGGCTGTAGGAAGATCTTTTGGAGGATTCTTGCTTGTTCACATATGTCACGTGTGCGGAGCTACACTGACAATGCCGCGTTTTCCTGTGGCTTTGCTGCGTTCCTGTTCGCAACGCACACCGCCAAAGGCGGCGGAGAGCTTGAGATATCCATCCGCAATAAGTAGGGAGATGTTACGGTAGTTTTGCGCGGCGTCGACGCGCGCAAAGGTTTTTGACACCGCGTCGATCGTTCAACCTTGAATCGACCGCGGCCCAGATCGTTCAAGGTTGAATTCCGTCGGGTCCAGCGGCGTTACAGTGCCCCCCCCGGTGCTTGCGCGTCGTCCTATCACGCGGCGTTCAACCTCGAACGCCTTCGCCGGCGTCGCGGGCGCGCCATCGCCGCACGAGCCTACCGCAGGAGGATTCTTCCCCATCCCCCGCTTCGTCTCCGCCCCGGCCGTCCCAGGGCGGCCGGCGTGCTGAGGCGTGCCTGGGCGGCCGGCCCCAGGGTGCCTCGCTCGGCCCCTCTCCTGAGGCTGCATCCGCCTCTCCGCCCCGAGGCCCACCGCTGATCGACCCGAAATCCCGAAGGCGACCACCCGCGCCCGAAAGGAACAACACACAGCGCTGGGATCGAAGACGAACTCGAGGATCGACGGAAACAACATCATCTGGCCGAGGTATGCTCTGATGGGGCCAGCCTCCTTACCCTCAGGGGGCGAGGAAAGGGAGGGGCCAGGAGCACCGACTTAGGCGGCGGCCTGCATGGTGCAACAGCATCATCACCCTCAGGATTCTTACGATAATGAGGATGGAGGCCCTCTCGAATGCGCTTGATGGCACCTTCTCCTGAGGTGCCAGGCTCTCCGAGACACATTTGGCCGAGCAAGTGGCAGCGTCTGCTGGTATACGCCCCACATCTGGTACAGAAAAAGAGCGGCTTGCGGGTCTCCTTTAGCGCAGCAAAGCCCAACCGATGGCGCCTCTCTGTCTCAGCACCTTCAAGGCGTCTGAGCGCAGTCGGGGGCCCAGAACAACCGTTCATAGGTCGGGCATCGCTCTCGAAAGAGACCAGAAAGCACCTGCTGCAACGAAAAACCCCTCCGTCCTCGAGCTCCTCCCATTCGTGCCAGTCTGGCGGTGTCTTCACCTTTGGGAGTCGGGCCGCGGGAGGGGGCCGAACAAAATCTAACTTGGGAAAAAGCGGGAGCACCGCCCCGAACATTTTCGCACAGTCCAGAAGGAGCTTCACCCGCCTATCCAGCTCAGCCAGATCAGCAGCTGACGCTTGGGGGCGAAGGGAGAGCGCATGCTTCGCCAATCGGTCGGCGTCGGCATTGCCCAGGGCAATCCTGCGCTCCTCTGGTGGGAGCTCTTGAATTACTTGTTCCGATCTGTGGGCTGGAGTGTAAAGGGCCTCGCCCGCGGCGTCGAAACCAAAAGCCTGCTGCGCAGCCCTACGCACTCCCGCAAACATATGCTTTGGCCCGAGCTGGGCCGCATCCGCAGCATTGTGCAAACGGATGGCCCCTTTGCAATCACTGTGAAGGGTGCTCAAACCAGACGCGAACGCACAAACAGTGGCAAGACCAACATTTTCCGCAGCCTGGGGAGTTTGCGGGATCGTTGGCCAACTTGGGGCCATGAGTCGGGTCCTGATCTTGTACTCAGGACCTGGCTCCAGGAAAACCGCGGCAAAACTAGCTCGACGTAAATCTTTGATGATGCACTGCGTAGCCGAGCCGTCCACGACTACGTCGCAACTCTCGCTCAGCTCTACAAGCTCTTGGAGTGATAATGGCCTGCCGTCGCCGTCCTGAAGGAGAGGGTCCGTCGCCGTCGAGGGGAGAGGGAAGTCCTCTAAATCTGGCTGGGCCATCATCAGGCGAGACCAGAAAATATGTTCTTCTGGGGGGCTCGCTCGTGCAGTATCTATAATATCCTGGGCGATCGCCTCTGCACGGGTCTGGGCAACCTCCAAATCATCACAGAGCCACTGACGATGGAAAATCGAATCTGGCTGTCCACATCGTGGGCATTTGCCATCTGAAACGTAGCCTGATTCAAGTAACCGATCGGCCGTCCAGCAGCCCTTGGAGAAACACGCGCACACCCAGCACTTGGTTTGCGGAGAGGCTCGCTTCGAGCGGAGGAAAGAGCGAAGGGGGTCGACCGACGCACGCTCACCGACGAAGGAGGGGGTGGACTCCGCAAGCCTACGTTCGTGGGCACGCTGCACTCCTTCTTGCAACCAACTGGAGATCATTGTAGGGGAAGTATACATTAGATCTACAGCTCTACCTAAGTCATCACGCCAAAGGTTAAAGTTAAGAGCCTGCCAACCTATCCGATGCAAACTCAGAAGCATCCGATGTCCAGGGCCTCGGGAGTATCTCCATTGTTGGGGTCCCAAAGCTAGCTGCTGTGCCTCCAGAGACCTCCAGATCCTGATGTGGTCTCGGAAGGAGAGGGGGCTCGTACTCGGCGTCGTCAGACTGCGCCAAAGGCTGGATGCCCACTGTCTAGCAGGGGCCGTCGCCTGCTGCCAGGCGGGGTCGCCGTGAATGCAGACCTTCGCCATGATCGATACACCACGGTGTGCTGGCGTCAGTCCTGAAAGAAGAACAGTCCTGAGCTCAGCCAGTTCCTTATCTGACATCCCCAGGATCATTGAGCCGTATCCTGCCCCAGGTCGAACTCCCGAGATGCAAATTTTGCTCATCCGAAACCGATCCCGTGGAAGCTTCTTTCTGACATACCTGATGAAGCCATGACGTTTTTTTTCATAGCTTGAAACCGTGTCTTACGCTGGGTGACCCCGCCTTTACACTCCCTGCGCTGTCCTGGGGCCAGGTCGCAGCCCAAAGAGACGACGGCATTGCTGGGCACGGAGGGGCAATGACAAGCAATCCTCCTGGCCAAACGATGCGCAACACGTTGATTCGTCGCGAAGGTGGTGGCCTTGTCAGCGGCCAACTTCACATCAAGACGCTCCTCAAAGACCCACCTCAAATCTGCAGCGGCCGAGGTCAGCGTGCGAACTACTGTACCAGGATCGCCAGACATCGTCACCGTGTCATCATCGATGTATGATCCGAGCGATATCTGCGGGTTGCGAATACAAACCTGATCAAACTCAAACATTGAATACACCTTGACAAACACGTCATTGAAAATATCACCTGCTGGCAATCCTGATTCTGCAAACTGCAGCAAAGGACTGTGATGGGCCCCAGGTCGGAGGATCCTAGGGCTGCGCCATAGATTGTACAGGGTCTTGGTGAGGACTCGCGGGATACCCCAGTACTCAGCTCGGGCCTTCAACCAAGCCAACCGAAAGGATTCGTAGTATTTTTGCCCATCCCAGATGAACCCCGCCGTGATTTCCCCGCTACTGGCCGCTTCTTCAGCCAACAGACATTGTTTCCAGACGGTCGCCTCCGAGGACTGCCCAGCGCCGAAAGACCAATAGGGCCGATGAGCCCGCTCCAGAAACTCATCCACCTCAGGACGCCTCAAACGCTCCCAGATACGAACTGGTGCAGCTAGAAGTAGAATAGGGCGCAATCCTCCCTTGGGCTTCTCCAGGAGTGGTAGCAACATCCAAAGCAACTGCGACTGGAACAGGCCAAGACGCTCGATCGCCTCGAAAAGAAGCGACATCACCTCCAGGGCGCTGTCGCTCAGGAGGCAGATGTGGCGCACGTGCAAGGAGTCCAAAGACTGTGCCGTGTGAGTGCTGAGGCGGGAGGAGGAGGCGGAGGAGGAAGAGGAGGAGGGAGGCGGAGGAGGAGGAGAAGGAGGGAGGAGGGAGGAGGAGGAGGGAGGAGGAGGAGAAGAAGGAGGAAAGCGGGTGGGAGGAGGGGGAGGACTCCTCCTCCTCCTTCTCCTCCTCCTCCTCCTCCCTCGCCGGGAGGGCCCTCCGAACGACCCCCTGTGACCGCACTGGGGCCTTGGCCCTCCTCGCCCCCGCTCACGCCCTCCAGCAGAGAGGGCGCGCGGCCTTGTGGTCCAGGGCCGCGGGCTTCAGGACGTGGAACTCCGCCTGGCCGCCGCCACCGACCGCGGGGGGGCGGGGGAAGGGCGGGCGCGGCTGCCCCCCGCGCACACCAGGCGTGGCCGTCCCCCCCCCTCCCAGCCGCGGCACGGCGGCAGTCCGCGTGCTCGTCGCCCCCCGACCCTACAAAAGCCGATCCTTCCTCTCTCCAGCCTCGACCCTGGACGCCTCGCCCCTCCCCTCGGCCCTCGACCCTCCTCTCATCCCCCCTCTCCCTCCTCCCCCCCTCCTTCGCCTGCGCTGCTCCTCCGAGCTTCTGGGAGCGCCGCCCTCCACCGTGGCTGCTTCGTCGTCCCTCCCGCCACTCGGCGCAAGGTGAAAGGTGCCCGATTGAGTCGGGCGCCGGCAACCACACATGTCGCCCGCGCCGGCTTCTCTAACAGGGGCGACGGCTAACTACCACACGACTGAGCCTCAGTCGTGTGGTAGTTCTCCCAGCTGGCTCCTGAAATCTGAAGGGTAGGACGAACACTGCCAGAAGAAGTTGGGTTCAGGGGGGGGTCAGATGAAGAGAAGACGGGATGCGGCGATCGTTAGGTCGGGCATGTCCTCCTACAGGCGGATTTTGGAGGAACAGTGATAAGTAGTCAAGCATGCGCAGAAAGACTAAAAAATCGTCCCACGACTATTGTTAGACTATTTTTGAATTCTCCTCCCAGAGAAGGACATGCCCGACTTAGAGCGCCGGCCCACAGTGGGAGCGACGAGCAGACGCAGCGAACAGGACCAGGAGGAGGTGTAACCGTGGAGTGAACGGCATATGGATAATCTATCAAGGACGTGAAGGAAGGCTGTTTCCGAAGCTGATGCACGACGCGAGCTAAGAAAGCTGGGCGAGCTCCACAAGTTGCCGATTTCCACCGACCAGCTGACGTCTGCCTCTCGCTGGTTGGACTTGGCCTGCAGCGTCTACCACCCCATCAGGCCATCAAGAAGAGGATAAATCGGAGAGGGGGAGGAAGAGTCCCGGTAGGTTCGCGTGGTGACGACTGGCGCGCTGGTTCCTGCCAGCACGCTGACCGATCAGCCTTCAACGATCACGGCATTCCGATACAGTGGGGGCTCGGTCACAAGAAACCTCCGCAAGAAGCCCAACCCGAAAATACGCGATGTGTTCAGTGAAAATCCACATGTGTCGATCGAAAATCGTCAAGATCTGATTGGGAGCCCATCAGAATCCAAGAAGCCCAGGGCACCCTGGCAGAATCCAACTGGTTTCTTGGCACGCGCCCCCCCTGTTCAGTCGGGGCGTTGACCTAATGAACCCTACTCCAGATTTCGTAATAAAAGGGAGGGGGTCTGGACCCTCCAAGACAAGCCATTTCAGACTTCCCCCGTGGGAGAACCCTCCAAAACATCGTCCCCAGACCCCCCAGGCCCTCCAAGATAGCCTGGAAGAGACCGCCCCCGAAATGAGACCCCCCTCCCTTTATTACGAAATCTGGAGTAAATAAGGAACGAGGCCCCTTTTTTCCATAAGTTAAACTTCGATTTACCATTGAAAACCTAAGGAAACCCATGGCAAACTGTAAAACAATCAAGAACACCGAGCCCCTCCCCAACGAACAGGGTTCCTTCTTCAGCGCCCCCCCTGCACTGCGGACCGGCTCCCCGAGGGCGGGGAACAAAAGCGGTGCCCGCTGCCAGAGGGCGGCCCCCTGGGCGCGCCACGCTGGCTTTGGGCCAAGCCGTCGTGGCCGTCGTCGCCCCCGCAGTCGTCGTCGTCGTCGTCGTCGTCGTCGTCGTCGTCGTCGTCGTCGTCGTCGTCGTCGTCGTCGTCGTCGTCGTCGTCGTCGTCGGCGTCGGGCTTTCTGTGGGCCACGCGGGCGCGCCCGCATCCGCCTCGAGCACCCTGGCCGCGCAGAGCGCACCCCGGGCGGAGGAGGAGGAGGAGGAGGAGGAGGAGGAGGAGGAGGAAGAGGAGGAGGCCCAGGGCTCGAGCACGCCTTCCGGGGCAGGAGGCCCCGGGGCCCTGAGGTCGGGGGCGTCCACAGAGGGGGGGGGTCCACAGAGAGGCGGTCGCAGAGCACAGCCCCACGCGCACGCGCGGACGAGGGGGGCACCGGGGGCACGCGTCGAAGGACGAAGGGGGGGGGGCACGACATCCCGAGAGACAGCACGGCTCCAGGCAGGACGCCCCCGATCCCCCCTCAGTCAGCACCCCCCTCCTGGCGCCCCCGCGCACTTCGGGCGTCGCTTCATAGGGGGACGATGAGCTCGGGGGGCGCAGAAACGTGCACCGTATACGCCCTCCTTCTGGGCCCTGGAGGGCCGTTTTTTGGGGCCCCTGGGGTGCACCTCCCCTTTACCACCCCACCCCTTTCATGATCGCGCCCCCCCCCCCCCCCTTCAGTACGCCACGCCCGATCAGATCCCTGCGTCGCAGGGGCAACCCTGGAGGAGGAGGAGGAGGAGAGAGGAGGAGGAGGAGGAGGAGGAGAGGAGGAGGAGGAGGAGGAGGAGGAGGAGGAGAGGAGGAGGAGGACGGAGGAGGAGAGAGAGGAGGAGGAGGAGAATGAGGAGGAGGACGACGAGACTGGAGGAGGAGAGGAAGGAGGGAGGGGAGGGAGGAGGAGGAGGAGGAGGAGGGGAGGAGGAGGAGGAGGAGGAGGAGGAGGAGGAGGAGGAGGAGGAGGAGGAGGAGGAGGAGGGGGAGCAGGAGGAGGAGGAGCAGGAATAGTATAGGAGGGGGAGCAGGAGGACGAGAAAGAGGAGGTGGAGGAGGAGCAGCAGCAGGAGGAGGATGACGCCTGCTGCTGGCCTCCGCCCCGCCGGCCTCCCGAACGGGCGGACCCGCCGGCCCATTCCGCTGCCGCTGGCCTGCCCCGCCTCTGCTCAACCGCCGATGGGGCGACTTGCGCCGACGGCGCGGCCCTCTTTTCCAGAGAGCGCCCCCCGCAGCAGAAGCAGAGGCGGCCAGCCATCGCCATCGGCGCCCGGCCCCCGACCTCCGACCGACGTCTCTGGGCGATTTCGGACACCCGGCGCCCAAAGACCTTCTCCTCCCTGAGAGGGCACATCTTCTACTTCCGCCGGGCTCCCGCCGGGCTTCCGCCGAGCTTCCGCCGGCTTCCGCCGGCGGAGGCGGCCTCGTTCTACATCCGCCGACCTTCCGCCGCCCTCCGCCGAGGAAGAGATGACAGCTCCTTCAATCCTCGGAGGCAGTGCGATTTCTGGAACGCCACGAGTCTAGATTCCTGCACAGCGTGAACGGGGCCCCGGGAAGGGGAGGCCTGGGGACCTCCTCTCCCCCCCCGGGACCATCTTTGCATAATTACGGGTGTCGTTGCTGACGGCCGCGAAGACGGCAAGAAACGCCGTCACGATCCTACATATACTTACATATTGCCGCGACACGAGGCAGGAACGGTCAGCAGTTGGATCGGGCGAAGACGACAAAAAAAACGCCGTCACGATCCTTTATGGCCACGACGCGAGGCAGAAACGGTCAGCAGGTGGGTCGGGCCGCGCTAGAGCGCGGAAGCAAACAAATCTTCCTGGAATGCCTGCACCGGGACGCGCAGGTGCGCCCCGCAGAGCACCGGGGCCGCACTGGGCCGCTGCAGGTTGACTTTTCGAAGCGGAGCGAGCCCTGCTCCAAATCGAGTCGGGTCGAACCGCAATGGGCCCTCGCGAGGAGGTCTGGGTCCCAGAGCCCCCCAGAGACCTCGACCCGTTCCCTCGGATCGGCGCTCCATCCCGAGAAGACTTGTTGCTGGCCCCGGGGCCCCGCGAGGGCCCCCCAGAGCCCTTCCACCCCGATTGTTCCCCGACGCGAGCATGTCGATCTGGGAAGCGAATCTAGAAAAAGAGATAACGGCATAGACATAAGACCTGGATCTGCGCCAGAACCCCTTCCATGGGCGCGCGGAGCGTGCCAGGGGCGGCGCCGGAGGCGCCGCCAGGGGTCCCAGCGCGGATCCAAGAAATCCGCGCGGAGCGCCAGAAGTTGATGTTTATGTAATGTTTTGCTTTGGAGTCCCGAAACGGTGCGGTGACAGACCGTGCGGTGACCTCGAAATCCCGCAAGGCCTCACCGCACGGTCCGTCACCGCACGGTTTTGGGACCCTGGAGGCCCATATCGCCCGAGACATCCTCGGAGAGGGACTCGAGTCCCAAAACCGTGCGGTGACCCCGCATCCCCACCGACTCACCGCACGGTGTGGTCAGCACACCGTTTGGGGGCCCCCGAAATCCTCCTTCTCCGAGAATCGAACCGGACCAGACCAGGAGGGGTCCTCGCGAGGAGGCCCGCGGCCCTCCGCTCCCTCGAGGTCTTTTGCCCCCCGCGGCGGCGCGGGAGGCGGGGGCCGAGGGCGAAGGGGGCGGAGGCCCCCGCCGCGAGGGTGGGCGTCGAGGCGATGGTGTCCGCGAAGACCGCGGAGCACTCCTGCGGCGCCCGGGGCCCGCCGGGAGGGGTGCCCGCAGATCCGGGCGTCGCCGCAGTAGGAGCACCTTCAAGACAGAAAAAACACCAAAACACGCACGCAGGCACGCAGGCACGCAGGCACGCAGGCACGCAGGCACGCAGGCAGGCAGGCAGGCAGGCAGGCAGGCACGCAGGCACGCAGGCACGCAGGCACGCAGGCACGCACACGCACACACGCACACACACACACACACACTCACACACACATACACACATACACACACACACTCACTCACTCACTCACTCATTCACTCACTCTCACTCACTCACTCACTCACTCACTCACTCACTCACTCACTCACTCACTCTCTCTCACACACACACTCACTCACTCTCTCTCACACACACGCACACACACATACATACACACAAACACACGCGCATACACACAACAAACAAACAAACCAAAAACGCTGGCAAGTTTACTTGCATGGACGGGGGCGGGGGGCCTGAACCTCAAGCAGCAGAGGACTGGCACGTGCGGAAACCACGCAAGTCGAAAGGCACTTGCACGCCAGTGTTCGTCTGAAGAAAGGCGTTTGGGGGGGGGGGCGGAAGGGGGGGGGGGGGGGGGGCGAACGCCATGCAAGCAACTTGCCTGAGTAAAAAACAGGCTCTGGAAGAAGAAACAATGCCATACACATAAACATACATCAACTTTTGGCGCTTCGCGCGGATTTCTTGGACCTGAGCTGGACTACCTCCCTGGCGCGCGGAGCGCGCCAGGGACGGCACCGGAGGCGCCACCAGAAAGGCCCAGCGCGGATCCGAAAAGTCTGCGCGGAACGCCAAAAATTTAAGCTTATGCAGTTTTCTCTTCTTCGACGCGGGTGTTTTGCTTGCGTGCTGGCCCGACGGTGAGAGTTGCCAGTTTCCCCGCGAAGGGAGCTCCACCAAGCTGGAGCAGGCCAGAGAAGAAGAGGAGGCAGAGGAGCGAGAGGCGAGCAGCGAGATACCAAGACATTCATCCAAAAACGAAGGTCCGGGCGTCGCCAAAACACTGGACGACGATACGGAACGGGTCTTACGCAAGATGACGTAGCGACCTTACCGCCGCGGCTCACGCGGGCCGCCAGCGCGGCCCGCTCCATTGGTAGCAGGCGCAATTGCGCGAGGGCTTACGTGGGGAGCTGACGCGCGAATGTCGGCGCAAGTTAGCACCGCATCTCCCATGATAAAAACTGTCAGCCTTCCTATTGATGGAGAAAAGAACTCCATCGTGCCAGAGCAAGCGCCGGAAACGAAGCGGGGGAGGGCGAGGAGGGAGAGAGAGATGGCGGAGCGAGAAAAGGGATACCGAATGCGGCCGCTGGAAGACGCCGGAGGAGCAGCACCTCAAGGTTCATCCTCTGATTTCCAACGATATGACTTCTTCAATCCCTTCGTTCTTCCTTGATTTAGGCCTCCGCGGGGCCCGTTATAAAGGACCCTGGGACCACCAACAACGGATCTGGGACGAGAAACCAACCCCTGGGAGAAGAAGGGTCGGGAACCCTGTGGCCGCGCACTGAAAAGAACATATTGTTGGATGTCCGGATCGTGGCGTCGCCAAAACATCGCCACGCTCGAGAGACGGGACGTCGAAGCTGGCGCTCCTGACGGGCGCAACCTTGCCCAGGTTGAGCCTGCGGGCGGCTCCTCGTCGCCCTGGGTGGGTCCGCCTCGAGATCCTGGTCGGGACGAACCCCGCGACGGGTCTCGGGGCCGACAATATTTGTTGTGGATTTTTTCCCATGCGAAACGAAGGGCTGCGGCGCGAACGACGGCCGGTGAAGCCAAGGGCGGTCGACCGTGCCGCGAGATCTTGCCTTGCGGCGCTGGGTCCTCTCGCGCGCCCCGCCCGCAGTCGGAGCGGCCTGGCTGGCGCTTCCGATGGCGGAGAAGTTGCAGCATGTCTTCTTGGGGGAAGAGCAGCGAGGGAGAAACGCGAGGAAGGACATAATGGTTCAAGGCGGAGTTTGCCCAAGAAGGAGGGCGAGGTCGCGCGGTGGCTTCGGGCGCAGGGCAGTGACCGGCAACCCTATAGCACAGGTCGCGAGCCAGAAGCTGTTGCCTCGCTTTCTCTCTCTCTCTCTCTCTCTCTTTCTCTCTCTCTCTCTCTCTCTCGTTCGTTTTTTTATATATGGTTGTTTCTTTTTGTTGTTGGTATGTGTACATATATGTGTATGTACATTTGTTGTGTTCTCTCTCTGTCTCTCCCTCTCCGCATTCTATATATATATATATATATATATGAATATACCTATAGCTACCCCAGACATGCGATGTAGCATCCGTGCGCTGCGCCCGCTGCTATAAGTCGGGCTCGTCCCTCTACAGGAGGAATATTCCAAAATAGTATTAAAAAACAGCTTCTGGGGACGATGTTAAAATTATTGTTTGACCATTTGGGGATATTTTCTGACTTGTTTTACAACAAAATGTCGAATATCTCCCTGTAGGGGGACACGCCCGACTAGAGTTTGTATATTCTTGATGCTTCGAGGGGCGACATCTGGACAGTACCACCCCCCAACCATCGATTATCCTGAACCGATGGGAGGCAGGGGTAAGCTTCGGATCCCGCTCCGTGCTCGACAGCTGTCGAGCCCCACCCCCGCCGCCCGTCGAGTCGCCCGAGTCGCTGATCGGCGAGGGTTGGGTTCGGATTTCGCCGCCGAATCGAAGGATTTCCCGCGGGGGGGCCCAAGGCAAAACGCAGCAGGGACAAACACAGCATCCGCACCAGCAGGAGGAAGCTTGGGCCGCCTGCTCCCGTGCGTGGATGTGCTCGGCGGGCGCGAGCATCCCCGTGGTCGGGCCGAGCCCGGTGCGCGAGCTGCTGGCCGCCGCGGTGGGCGAAGCTGCCGCCTCGAGCAGGACATCGGCGGAGGGGCGACAGGCCGGCCGTGCGGGGCCCCGCGGCAGAGCGACGCAGGGGCGACGGCGGCAGGAGAGGGGGCGCAGGAAGGGGGGGGCGGGCTGAGAGCGGAGTGGGCGGGACGCGGCAGGGCCGCGGCTTCGCCTGCACGGCGGGGCCCCGCGCGGACCACCACCGGGCATCGACGACCTCGACGGCGATCTCGCCGACGACCTCGAAGACGGCCTCGACGAGGATTTCGACGACGGCGATCCCGACGACGTTAACCACGATCTCGACGACGATCTCGACGAGGGCCACGATCTCGTTGACGACCTCGACGACGCAAGCCGCCGCTATGGTAGACGTCTACGACTGTTGCCTGCACGAAGAGGACCTCGCATTGGGAAGACAGGGGGGGAGCGGCGGACAGGAGGGGGGCCAGGAAGGAGAGGGGGAGAGGCCCAGACCCCTCGCGTTGTGAAACAAATTGGCCTGGCGAAGGACCTAACCATGTGCAGTTGTGAGCACTGTCGTCGTATGCGCCGCATTCGGAAGGGCTCCCCTCTTGGGCTACGGAACTTGCGAGGGGTGTGCCACAATGGGTGCAGTGGACGCATGCGAACGCGGCCACTGGGGCCGTCGGTGGAGCTCCCTATGGGAAACGAAGCGTGCGAGAGGTGTGCCAACATGAGTGCGGCGGGCGCGTGCGAACGTTGCCACTTGAGCCTTCGGTGGGGCTCCCTCTGGGGCCACGAAGCGTGTGAGGGGAGTGCGAAAGTTGGCGCGGCTGTGCCATGCGAACGCAGCCACTGGGGCCTTCGGTGGAGCTCCCTGTGGGGCCACGAAACGTGTGAGGAGTGTGCCGAAATTGGCGCGGTGACGCCATGCGAGCGCAGCCACTGGGGATTTCGGTGGAGCTTACTGTGGGGCCACGAAACGTGTGAGGGGTGTGCCGAAATTTGCGCGGTGACGCCATGCGAATGCAGCCGTTTGGGCTTTCGGTGGAGCTCACTATGGGGCAACGACACGTGTAAGGGGTGTGCTGGCAGTGGATGGGCATGCGGAGGAGCAGAGACAGTGAGGGGAGGAGGGAGGAGGGCAGGAGGAGAGGTGAGGAGAGGACAGGATCGGAGGAAAGGACGAGGAGGAAGAGACGCGGTGCGCTGTCTCTTCAAAACGAGGACCCAATTCAACACAGGATGGTCGGGTAAAACAAGACGGGTCGTGTTTCGTTACTTTCGGCCTCCAGGGGCCCTTACTGGGCCTCGGGACAATCAAAAAACTGCGCAGGATGAAAAGCTGGCCCTGGGGAAGGGGTCCAGACCTCTTGGGGTCGACGTTGTGACAAACATCGCAACGTCGGGGGGTCTGGGGGAGGCGGAGATGGGGAAGGGGGGGCGCAGGGAGAAGGGAGGGATGAAGGAGGGCCGGAAGGAGGAAAGGGAAGACAGGACAGGGGAAGCTGGAGATGGGCAGGGGGAGGGGTCAAGTCCCTCGGATCCTGAGTGCACAAAGAGTTGAAACAATGCAAGAAAAGGACGCGCGCACTGGAACCACTAAAACAATATGCAGCAACAGCGGCCGGAAAAGTCCTGTAGAAACACTATATCACACTCGACGTACTGTGTCTCGAGGATGCTAATCGTGAGCGCCACTTTGTTGGTGGAGAGCGTCCTGCAAATCTGACGCGGACCCAATGACAATGAATCGTGGGTAGGGCGTACTACACACGACAACACAATGCAGCTGAGCAAGATACACTGCTTTGATGCTATTCCTCTGGGGAAAGCACAATCTGAATTTGCCTCATCGATTATAACATCCTGGTTGAGACGCAACCTCACCAACCACTATAAACCATAACGCGACACTGCTATCCTGACCCTGTGAATAGAAAGCCAGCAGCATCTTTTAGCGCTTACAATAGGGTTCAAGCGGGTTGCGAGCCCGAAGGCGCACGCGTTCACGCTGAGCTCCGAAAAGCTCCACACTCCCGCGCCCGAAGTCACTCATTCTGCAAATGCGAGCGCACATGAGCAATGTAAAACACACATCTGAGACATGCGTGTATATTACGCATGTTCACGGCGCAACGAGTGTGCAATGATCGGCTGCGGCCGCCCAGGTAGTAACATGCCATGATGTATAAGAAGCAACGTGTGTATCACGTCAGATCGCGTGACACAGAAGACAACTTCATCGCCGCCCGATCCTCCTCCCTCCTCCGTCACCCTTTCCCCCTCCTGACATCCCCCCTTCCACCATCCTCCCTCCATCCCCCGCTTCGTCTCACTATTATTGTAATAACACCTCGCCCCGAGACTGGTATAGTCGACTAGAGCTATCGCGCGCGCGAGTTCTCTAGAATCCCAGCGCGCAATGAGATGTCGAGGGTAGGACCGACACTTGCGGATAGGGTTTTCAGCCCGAAAGTGCTGCGGGAACGCGCGGGTCCCCAGGAGGACGACGGAGGAGGACGAGGGGGGCGGCTTTTGAAGGTCGAGATAAAGAGGGGGGATGCGGTCCAGGAGCATGACGGCGACGAAGACGAGGGCAGCACGGCGAGGAGGGGCAGGAGCAGAACACACACACAAAAAAAATACACAAACAACACACAAAACACGCAGAAAACACACAAAACACACACACAGTGGGGAAAAAACGCTGTGTGTGTGTTTGTTCCCCACTGTGTGTTGTTGTTGTTGTTGTTGTTGTTGTTGTTGTTGTTGTTGTTGTTGTTGTTGTTGTTGTTGTTGTTGTTGTTGTTGTTGTTGTTGTTGTTGTTGTTTAGCTTGTTTTTTCTGTATGTTTTATGTTTTCCCCACGGAGAAGCGGAGCCTCGCAACACGACCGGCACGACGGAGGGCGGCGCGGAGGGGCACGGTGCCCGTCGTCCGCGAGGGCAAGGCACCGCCGCCTTGGTGCCCTTCGGCCCCACCCTGCCGCCGTGCCCGCGGCAGCTGCTCCGAGGCAGCTCTGCAGCCCAATTTTGGGGGGGCTGCCTGGAGGCCTCTCGCGGCCTCTCCTCCTTGCGGGGGGATTTTTGGGGGTCCTGCTCGGGCGATCTCCTGTAACCAGCCTCGAACGTATCCCTATCCCTAAGATTGCCACGCCCAAAGGCGATGACAATCTCAGGGATCCGCCCTCAAAAAGTAAGGGAATCCTCAAGATTGGCATCGTGATGAGGAGATGCCCAGCATAGGGATAGGGATATGTTCCAGGCTGGTAATCCTGGGCCACCTCGGGCGCGAGGCTTCGAAGCGTGAGGACGGAGGGGAGGGGCAACCCTGCCCCTCGCGCGCGCGCGTGCCCCTTCCCCGGTGGCCGTCTGCCCTTCCCACATCCTGCCACCGTGCCTGGGTTGTCGGGGTGAGACCTCTTGAAGTGCCTGGTCGGGTCTCTGGGGGAGCCTCTTGGTGAGCCTTTCGGAGACAGGCTTGAAGCCTCTTGGGGCGCCATTCGGGGCGTCTTTCAAACCTCTTTTGGGCCTCTCGGGTCCTCTGGGGGGGGGCGTCTTCGGGGTCCTCTTGAAGAAGAGGCCTCGACATGTGGGTTCCCTCTTGGGCCGTATTGGCGCCCTCTTGGGCCTTTTCCGGGCTCAACTGGGGGCCTCTGGGGCCGTCTTGGACGCTGCGTACATGAAATAGCGAATGTGCTAGAAATGCACGTTCTCCCTCGTGGGGCGATCTTTGCCTCGTCGGGCCCTCGTGAGGATCCTCTTGGAGCCGTCTTTGGGCGTCGTGGGGCGTGGTGGGGGCCTCTTGGGCCGTCCGGAAGCAACGTTGGCCCGTCTGGGACACACAGGCCTCGGAAAAAGATCGCGAACACTCATGCCGCATTCATCTGTCAACGCCTCCCCCTCCTCCCAGTGTTCAAAGCTGGCGGTTGGTCTGCTGCGTTGCACCTCGACCGCAGTCTCCCCCGCGCGTGCCAACTTTGAGTTTGGTGGAGCGGGGGAGTGTGCACGGCTTCCCCGGGTGCCGTAGGCGCCCCGAGGAGGAGGAGGAGGAGGAGGAGGAGGAGGAGGAGGAGCCCGGCGGGCGGAGGGGGGACTTGTGGTGTATGTCAGGTGCCCCTGGTGGTCTTCGGCTCAAGGGCCCCCCCCTCCTCTCTCCTCCCCTCCTCCTCCTCCCTCCTCCTCCTCCTCCTCCTCCTCTCTCCTCCTCCTCCCTCCTCCTCCTCCTCCTCCTCCTCCTCCCCCCCTCCCCTGGTGGTCCTCCTCCTCCTCCTCCTCCTCCTCCTCCTCCTCCTCCTCCTCCTCCTCCTCGGCCGAGCCAATGGGGCGCGTACACCGCCCCTGGCCCCACGGGATACTCTCTGGAGAGGGGCGCAGCCTCGGGGGCGCCTGCACTGTGGGAGGTACGGTCGGACAGCGGAGGCCCATGCCACGAAACACCCTGCTTGCCTCCAGGGTGCCTTGAGTTTCTTGGGTTTCGATGGTTTTGCTGTGGAAGGCGTGACGTTCCCACACCGAAAATCCATGGACGGCCTGGGGTCTCAGGGTTGGGTGTCTTGTGGAAGGTTTCTTGTGGACTGGCCTCCACTGTATTGGGTAGGAGGGGCAGCAACCCCACCGAACCTGAGCCAGAACCCCGTGAGGGTACAGTGGTGGGGGCCTGCCATGGGGAGGCGGCGCAAATCGGCTGCGTCCTTCGCCTGCGTGCCGCCCGTCCGAAGATCTGCACCCCAGACCTCTCCTGGAGCGGTTTCCGGCCACGGTGTCGAGGCGAGCCCAGACGCGGCGGCGAGCCCCCCCTCCTCCAAGAACATAACAGGACGACAACCGCAGCGCCCGCGTTCCTCCGCCCTCTCGCCTACCACCATCGTGACAAAGGCTTCGGCGGCGGCGACGACGGCGGCGCTGGAGCTGGCGGCGGCGACGGTGGCGGCGACGGCGGCGCGGCGGTGGCCCCGTTGCCGTGGCGTTGGAGTCAGCGGCGGCGGCGACGGTGGTGGGCCGAGCCGCCGCCGCCTGCACAGAGACATCTTGACGCCGTGCCACGTCGTGGGGCCCACCTCGAAGGGGCGGCGTAGGGTTGGGAGACAACTCCTGGGAAGTGTTCGCGGGAACGACTGAGGGCTACTAAGGCCGATCAGGGGGCCATGAAACATGAATAAAAACCCTAGCCTTAGGATTGAGCCAGATTGGTTCAGCGGACGCGGCACTCGGATGGGCAGGACGGCTTTCGACTGCGCCTGCACCAGCACCGATGCTCCATGACACCGCTCACTGCAAGACACCAAGAGGCAATGACTGCGATCCCCGACCCATCAAGCCGACCAAATCACGGACGGCTCGTGCCGTGGCGACCTCTGCGCTGGTCCTCCTCCTCCTCCTCCTCCTCCTCCTCCTCCTCCTCCTCCTCCTGGATCGTCCAACGCAAAAATAAAACAAGCACCGCGGCCCCAAGAGTCATGCAGTGCAGGCCACTGGGCGTGCTCGACCCTGCACGCCCGCGCTAGGGGTCGCCGCCAACCTGACAATCTGCCGTACCGTCGGGGCGCTGACCTAAAGAACCCTAAATAAGGAACGAGGCCCCCTTGTTTCCATACGTTACACTTCGATTTCCGATCGAAAAGAGAAGGAACACCTGAGGCAAGCTGCGAAACACGTAAGGAACGCGGAGCCCCTCCCCAACGAAAAGGGTTCCTTCTTCAGGGCCCCGACTGTAGGGTCGCCGCCAACCTGCCAAGCTGCCGTAAGACCACCACGCCGGACGAGGGCAGCACGTCGGTGCGGCCCTATGTCGGCATCGCGCGCGGGCGTCTCCCCCCCCGCAGGGCTCCCCTGCGGCAACCTGGCTGCTGCCGACGTGAACGGTTGAAGCGCACATGATCGGCGACCACCACACGAAAACACGACGTCCCCCAACCCTCCTGTGTTGGGTTCTCGCTCTCAATAGAGCACCGTGGTTAAGTCTCCCTCTCCTTCTCCTCCCCCCTCCTGCCTCCTGCCTCCTACTTCCTGCCTCCTGCTTCCTGCCTCCTGTCTCCTCTTCCTTCTCTTCCTCCTCCCTTCTCTCCTTCGTCCTGCTTGCGCCGGCTGGCCACTTTCGTGCGGGGCTCTCCCTGTCGACACATTCGTAGGCTCCTGGGAGGTCCAAAGAGTGGAGTGGAGTGGTACGCAGGCCCAGTTAGGACCTCGTGGCTCCCTGCGTGGCTGCGAAGTGCGCAAGTGTCGCCACATTCCTGGGCTCGGGGTGGGGGTCCAGCCGAGTGGAGTGGTACGCAGACACAGTTGGGACCCCGCGGCTCCCTGCGTGGCTGCGAAGTGCACAACTGTCGCCACTGTCGTGGCCCTCTGGGAGGTCCAACGGAGCGGAGTGGTACGCAGATCCAGTTGGGACCCCGCGGCTCCCTGCGTGGCTGCGAAGTGCGCTGTCGCCACTTTCCTGGGCCCCTGCTGGGACGTCCAGCGGGGTGGAGTGGCACGCAGACCCAGCTGGGACCTCGCGGCTCCCTGCGTGGCTGCGAAGTGCGCAACTGTCGCCACTTTCCTGGGCTCTTGCTGGGACGACCAGCGGGGTGGAGTGGCACGCAGACCCAGCTGGGACCTCGTGGCTCCCTGCGTGGTTGCGAAGTGCGCAACTGTCGCCACTTTCCTGGTCTCAGGGGAGGTCCAGCGGAGTGGAGTGGTACGCAGACCCAGTTGGGACCCCGCGGATCCCTGCGTGGCTGCGAAGTGCGCTGTCGCCACTGTCGTGGGCTCCTGGAAGCTCCAGCGGAGTGGGGTGGTACGCAGACCCAGTTGGGACCTCGCGGCTCCCTGCGTGGCTACGAAGTGCACAACTGTCGCCACTGTCGTGGGCTCGGGGGAGGGGTCCAGCGGAGTGGAGAGGTACGCAGACCCAGTTGGGACCCCACGGCTCCCTGCGTGGCTGTGAAGAGCGCAACTGTCGCCACTGCCGTGGGCTCCTGGGAGGTCCAAAGGAGCGGAGTGGTACGCAGACCCAGTTGGGACCCCACGGCTCCCTGCGTGGCTGTGAAGAGCGCTGTCGCCACTGCCGTGGGCTCCTGGGAGGTCCAAAGGAGCGGAGTGGAACGCAGACCCAGTTGGGACCTCACGGTTCCTTGCGTGGTTGCGAAGTGCGCAACTGTCGCCACTGTCGTGGGCTCCTGGAAGCTCCAGCGGAGTGGGGTGGTATGCAGACCCAGTTGGGACCTCGCGGCCCCCTGCGTGGCTGAGAGGTACGCAACTGTCGCCACTGTCGTGGGCCTGGAGGGGATCCAGCGGAGTGGCGTGGTACGCAGACCCAGTTGGGACCTCGCCGCTCCCTGCAAGGGCCATGGCTGCGAATTGCGCAACTGTCGCCACGTTGGGCCCGGGGGTGGTCCAGCCGAGTGGAGTGGTACGCAGACCCAGCTGGGACCTCGCGGCTTCCTGCGTGGCTGCGAATTGCGCAACTGTCACCACTGCCGTGGGCTCCTGGGAGGTCCAAAGGAGCGGAGTGGTACGCAGACCCAGCTGGGACCCCGCGGTTCTTTGCGTGGTTGCAAAGTGCGCAACTGTCGCCACTGTCGTGGGCGGCTGTTGGACGATCCATCGGGGTGGAGTGGCACTCAGACCCAGCTGGGATCTCGCGGCTCCCTGCGTGGCTGCGACTTGTAGAACTGTCGCCACTGTCGTAGGCTCCTGAAAGCTCCAGCGGAGCGGAGTGGTACGCAGACCCAGTTGGGACCTCGCGGCTCCCTGCGCGGCTGCGAAGTGCGCTGTCGCCACTTTCGTGGAATACTGGGACGTCCAGCGGTATGGGGTGGTGGTCGTATATATATATGTATACATACATATATATATATATATATATATATGTATATACACGCATACATATACATATCACTATATATGCACACACATGTATATATGTATGCATGTATGTATGTATGGTCTGATGGGTGGATTGATGGATGGACGGGTGGATGTACGTATGTATGCATGTATACATGTATGCATGTATGTAAATCAGTCAGTATGTGTGTATGTGTATGGATGTATGCGGGTATGCATGGTTGTATGTATGTATAGCGGCATGTTTGTATGTGTGCATGTATATGCGTATGCATGTATGCATGTACGGATGCATTCATGTATGCCCGTATGCGTGTATATGCATGCATACATTTATGTGTGCGCATGGATGCACACATGCAGGCGTGTGTGTATGGATGTATGTATGCGAGTGCACATGTGTACACGTGTACGCATGCATGGATGCACATACGTATACATGCATGTGTGTACGCATACATGTATGTCTGTATGTGTACATACGTATGGCATGCATGCATGTATGCAAGTATGTAGCTGTATGTAGCTGTATGTATGTATGTATGTATGTATGTATGTATGTACGTATGTAGGTATGCGTGTACGTATGCACGTACATATGCATGCATGCATGTAGGTGTATGCTTGCATGCGTGTTTCATGCACACGTAGATAACAACCATGTGTTGAGACAAGGGTTAGGCCCGTCACTTGGTAAGTTGCAGTACACATGTTCGTTGCACTGCAGTGGCGATGCTCGAACTTGAGCTCGGGTTTCCGCGTGGAGGGTTGGAGCGCACACGTCAGCGACCACCACACGACAACAGTAGTTGCTGCTGTTGCGCTGCAATTGTTTTGCGTTGCAGGCTCGTCTGCGTTGCAATTGCTGTTGCGCTGTGGTGGCGCTGCTCGAGCTTGAGCTTAGGATTCCGCGTGAGAGCCAAGCGCGGTTTGGGAAGGCTCAAGGAAGGTTGAAGCGCACACGTCGGCGACCACCGCGCGAAAACAATGTTGTTTGCGGTGCAGTTCGTTTTCCGGTGCAGATGTGTTGTTGCATTGCAATTGCTGTTGCGCTGCGGTGGCGCTGCTAGAAGAGCTTAAGATTCCAGGCGGGAGCCAATCGCGGTTCGGGGGGGTTAATGGGAGGGTTGAAGCGCACATGTCGGCGACCACCACACGAAACCAGATCTGTTGCATTGCAGATTTTTGTTGGCATTGTAATCGTGTTTGCAATCGTTGTTGCGCTCAAGTGGCGCTGTTAGGGCGCGCGCTTGGGATTCCGTGTGGGAGCCAAGTGTGGTTTGGGGAAACTCAAAAAGGGGGTGCAACGCACAAGTCGGCGACGACGATACAAAAGCACTGTTTGTGCACTTTGTTCTGTATTGCATTTCAATTTTGCTGTGGTGGTGCTGCCAACGAGCTCCGATTCCCGCGTGCCAGTCAAGACTGGTGTCAGGAGGGTCAGGGAGGATGGAAGCGCACAAGTCGGCGATGACGGCAAAACACCAATTGTTGTTGAATTGCATGTGTTCAAAGCTGCAATTGTTTTTTCGCTGTAGTGGCGCTGCTCGAGCATCAGCTTAGGCCTCCGCGTGGGAGCTAAGCGTGGTTTGGGGAGGTCCCGAAAAGGGTGAAGCGCACATGTCGGCGACCACCGCACGAAAACATGTTTTGTTGCATTGCAGTTGTCTTGCATTGAAATGCTCCCTGCATTGCAATTTTTGTTTGCGTCTGTAGTGTTGCCTGGCTGGTTGGTCTGGCTGGCTGGTCTGACTGGTCTGGCTGGCTGGTCAGACTGGCTGGTGCGGCTAGTCTACTTGGTCCAGTCAGGTTGATCTGCAGTCTGGTCTGGGCTTGTCTGCCTGGTCCGGGCAAATTGACCTGATTAGTCTGGTCTGGGCTTCGCGGGTCTGAATGGCTAGCTGGTGTGGTTTGTCTGGTTGGTCTACCTGGCTGGTCTGGTTGGTCTGACTGGCTGGTCTGACAGGCTGGCCTGGCTAGTCTGCTGGGTCCAGGTGGTCTGGCTGGCAGGTCTGGTCTGTCTAGTCTGTCTACTTGCGGCCCATCCACAGTAAACTACTTGTTGTTGCATTGCAATTCGAATGATCAAGTTGATCTGCTCAGTCTGGTCTGGTCTGGGCTTGTCTGCTTAGTCCTGTACATAATGCATCAAGGCCTCGAAAGAGTCCCAGAAAGCATAGAAATCCAAGAGTGGGCCCCAAAGGACCCCCAGTATGATAGTATTGGGGTCTGTTTGCAGGGCCCTCTCGGGGCTCTTTTGGACCCTCTTGGTGCGCCGTGGGCTTCTTTCAGGACCTCCTGGGGCAGAGACTGCAGAGGGCTCCAAGAGGTTTCCACGAGGTCCCAAGAGGGTCCCAATAGGGCTCCACGAGGGTTTCAAGAGGGCCCCCAATAGTATCATACCAAGAGCCTCTTGTATGTTAATGACTGTGGGGGTCTGTTCGAGGGGCCCTCTTGTGGGCTCATGGGGCTCTTTCGGACCCTTGTCGTCGTAGCCGAGGCTGATGTCCGAGGGTGTCTGGCTTGGGGGGGATGTGTTTTATCTGTCTGGGGGTTTGGGAGGGTTTCTTGAAATTTTGTCACCACTTGGCCCAGAGAGGGGGGGTCTGGCTGAACGCGGTGCAAAACGCAGACGCCTGGGGGAAAGGATGAATTTGGGGTCACATTGGGGTAATTTTGGTGTCATACTGGGGCCATGTTGAGATCATCTTGTTGTCGCTGCGGGGTCAGCCTGGGATCGTATCGAAGATCACTTTGGGGCCAAACGGTCATACCAGTGTCAAATAACACGGCACTTGGAATCATGCTGCTGCAATTTTGGGCTACCGGGCTCGCCTCGGGATCATATTGGGATCTTCGGGTCGATCTGGGGTCATGGTACAGTCGGGGCGTTGACCTAAGGAACCCTAAATAAGGAACGAGGCCAATGTTTTCCATAAGTTAAACTTCGACGTCCTATCGAAAACATAAGGAAAACCTGAGGCAAGCTGTGAAACACTTAAGGAACGCGGAGCCCCTCCCCAACGAAAAGGGTTCCTTCTTCAGGGCCCCGACTGTATCAGACGGCAATTGGAATCATGCTGCTGCAATTCTGGGTTACTGGGCTCGCCTCGGGATCCTATGGGGATCTCCGGGTCGATCTGGGGTCATGGTGCCGTCTTGGGGGTCCTCGTGTGGTCCTCGTGCGGGTCTTCCCAGGCCGTCGCAGCTGCAGCGGGTGGCCACTTTGCTCTTTGGTGGGGGCCCCGATTCGCTTCGTATATGGGCGCAACCAGCGGAGGCTTCCTTCTTGAGGCAGGTGGTCCCGACGGGGGGGGGGGGTCTTAATGGATCGCCTGGGAGGATTGTCGGGCTGGGCGAAAGGGGGGGATAGCAAAGGGGGGGGGGTGAGAATCAGCTCACGTAGCTGATTTTCCCGGCGCCTCCCGGCGCCGGAGGCGGCCATGTATCGAGGAATTGGCCCCTCGGTGAGGCCGCACGCAGGAAATGTCGTGACCCCCCTTTCCCAATCCCCCCCTTTCGCCCGGCCCGAGATTGGGACCCCCCCCCGCTTTCTTCTGAACTCCGGATATGGAACCCCTGCCGCGCCGCCCTCTTCCTCGCCGCGAAATGAAGACTGGGGAGAGGATCGAGGAGCGAGGCTCCCGAGCGTCCCCGGTCCCTGCTGGGCCTCTGGGAAGAGGCCCTCGCAGAGCGGAAGCAGAGACCGCCGCCCCCGAGAACCCATCGCAGGGCGACTCACCCCCTGGGCGGTGGCGCGCCCGAGCGCCGTCCAGAGTGTTGGGTGACGCTCAGGGCGTGCCACCGCCCAGGGGCCGGCCCACCCCGATGGGTCCTCGGTAACGATGGTCTCCCCAGACACGCGACGTCCTGAGATTTGTTCCCACGTGTCACCAGCCTGGGACATATCCCTATCCCTATATCCCTATGCTGGGCACCTCCGCATCACGATGCCAATCTTAGGGATTCCCTTACTGTTTGAGGGCGCATCCCTGAGATTGTCACCGCCTTTCGGCGTGTCAATCTCAGGGACAGGGATCAGTTCGAGGCTGGTAAATGTGGGCTCCCTGGAAGTCCCGACCTCTCCCCTGCGGCCGGCCCTGCGCCTCGAGCTGCTCTCGGCGGAGGCCCCGGTCGCTCCAGGGCGGAGGGCTCCATAGAAGCGCCTCCGGGAAAGCCGCCGATGCCCGAGGGGGTCCCGAGCGGCCCGTCGGTCGGGGCCACGGCGTCGAGCCCCGAATGGGGCGCTGCGGGGGCGCAGCGCAGATCGGCTGGTCGCTCTCCATCCGGTGAATGCCAGAACCGTGCGATGACAGACCGCGCGGTGACCTCGGAATCCCGAAGGCCCTCAACGCCTGGTCCGCCACCACACGGTTTTGGGACCCTGGAGGCCCTAGTCGCCGGAGACATTCTCGAAGAACGGCCCGAGTCCCAAAACCGTGCAGTGACCCCGAACCCCCACTGACTCACAACACGGTGTCGTCACCGCACCCTTTGAGGGCCCACGAACCATTCTCGGGAGGTTCGAAGATTCAGGTTTTGGACGGGACGTGCGAGCGAAGAGCAAATGAGAAGCGAGAGGCAAGGGGGTAGAGGAGGGAAACAATACGTAGCACCCCGCAGTTGCGGATAAGAGTGAGGGGGCGGCGGGGACGTCTGCAGTCTGCGAAGCTCTGAAGAAGCCCGCCGCAGGCGCAAACCTTTCATTCTATACAACGAGCCCGCCGCAGGCGTCGATTTTTTGTTTAAACAATGTGGGTGGGTCGCGGGTGGGGTCGAAGGTGGGTCGCGGGTGGTCGACGATGGGTCGCGGGTGGGTCGCGGGCCAGGTCGCGGGTGGGTCGCGGATGGGTCGCCGGTGGGTCGCGGGTGGGTCGCGAGCGGGTTGTGGGGTGGGTCGCGGGGTGGGTCGCGGGGAGGGTCGCGGGGTGGGTCGCGGGGGGGACGACGAAAACAAACAACAACAACAACAACAACAACAACAACAACAACAACAACAACAACAACAACAACAACAACAACAACAACAACAACAACAACAACAACAACAACCACAACAACAACAACAACAACAACAGCAGCAACAACAACAACACCAACAACAACAACAACAGCAGCAACAGCTGCAACAACAATAACAACAACAACAGCAACAACAACGCAACATGCAGAATCCTCACCACGGATCCGCACATAAGCCACGCACCCAGGGACAATGACTGACCGTTCGGCCCCCTTCACTCTGATAAGCATAAGACGGGGCGCAGGAGGTGGCATGATGGAAGCGGGTCCTCAGGGAAACGCTGCCTGGATCCACGGGTCCTGACGGGAGACCAGCTCTTCATCCTGGGTCGATGCTCAGGGTCACGGGGCCAGGAGCTGGCCCCGAGGGCCCGAAAAAAAACGGCGAAAGGGCAGAAGGGCCCATTCGTCTCAGGAGCCCCCTCCCCGTCGCGGCCTCGAGGGAGAAGGAGGGGCAGGGAGGAGGCTGGAGGGATGAGAGAGAGAGAGAGTGCGTGTGTGTGTGTGTGTGTGTGTGTGTGTGTGTGCGTGCGTGTGCGTGTGGTGTGTGTGTGCGTGTGTGCGTGTGTGCGCGTGCGTGCGTGCGTGTGTTGTGTGTGTGTGTGTGTGTGTGTGTGTGTGTGTGTGTGTGTGTGTGTGTGTGTGTGGTGTGTGTGGTGTGTGCGTGCGTGCGTGCGTGCGTGCGTGCGTGCGTGCGTGCGTGCGTGCGTGCGTGCGTGCGTGCGTGCGTGCGTGTGTGCGTGTGTGCGCGTGTGCGCGTGTGCGTGCGTGTTCGCCCCAGCTGCCGCGTTTGTGAGCTGGCCCGGCCGGCTCGTGCTGCCCCCAGTAGCTCATTAGGTTTGCCCGTCGGCCCGGACACCCTGTTCGCAGCCTGCGCTCTTCGCTGGTGGCCGCGACCAAAAAAGTGTGTGTGCGTGTTTTGTGTGTGTGTGTGTGTGTGTGTGTGTGTGTGTGTGTGTGTGTGTGTGTGTGTGTGTGTGTGTGTGTGTGTGTGTGTGTGTGTGTGTGTGTGTGTGTGTGTGTGTGTGTGTGTGTGTGTGTGTGCGTGCGTGCGTGCGTGTGTGTGTGTGTGCGTGTGTGTGTGTTTTGTGTGTTTGTAAGTTTGTGTGTTTGTGTGTTTGTGTGCCTGTGTGTCTGTGTGTGTGTGCTAGTGTGCTAGTGTGTTAGTGCGTTAGTGTGTTAGTGTGTCTGTGTGTCTGTGTGTCTTTGTGTTTGTGTGTTTGTTTGTGTTTGTGCGTCTGTGTTTCTGTGTGTCGGAGTGTGGGTGTCTGTGTGTGTGTGTGCTTGTGTGTGTGTGCGTGTGGGTGTGCGCGGCGTGCGTCGTGGCCGGCACGCCTGCCAAGTCTGAGGGCCTGCGCTTGCCAACTCCGTCGGCACACGGCCTCTTCCTGGGGGGAAGCCAAAAGGTACGTACCGATACCGCCACTTTCTCTGTGTCCCTCAATAGTTTTGGGGGTACCTGTAGTCCGGGGGGGGGTACTCGTAACTCGTAGTCCGGGGGGGGGTACTCGTAGTCCGGGGGGGGGGTACTTGTAGTCCGGGGGGGGTACCTGTAGTCCGGGGGGGGGGTACTCGTAGTCCGGGGGGGGGGGTACCTGTAGTCCGGGAGGGGGTACCTGTAGTCCGGGGAAGGGGTACTTCTAGTCCGGGGGGTACCTGTAGTCCGGGGCCCCAAAACTATTGAGGGACACAAGAGTACCCCCCAGACCTCTCCCGGGGTGCGTTCTGACCAGAATTTCGAGGCTGACTAGGGCCGCCCAGGAGGCCCAACACAGGGGAAAACGGGCGAGGGGTAGAGGTATGGGTACCTTTTCCTCCTCTGGCGTTTGCACGCTTCGGGAGCCGGTCCGTGGACGCCTCGCGACGTGCCCGGGAGCCCGTGGTGGGCCCGTGGCCGCCACGCCCTCCCCGAGGGGGGCCGGCGCCGGGGGCCGACCGCGTTGAGCATGTGCACCAGGATGGCGTCGAAGATGGCGCAGCAGAGCGTCTGCAGGGGCACGCTGATCCTCTCCTCCGCCTGTGGGCCGCCCTCCGCTTTTCCGCTGCGTGGCGCGCGGTGCGACCGTGCAGTGGGGCGCGACCGGCGAGGACACGCGGAGAGGACACGAGACCCTTCCGAGGGCCGCCGTAGGAGCTCGGCCACAAGAGGCCTTCCCCAAGGAACCCAATCCTGAGACCCCAGGACGTCCTCCGATGTTTGGCGTGGGAGCGTCACTCCTTCCATCGCAAAACCGTCGAAACCCTAGAAACCAAGGGCACCCTGGAGGCAAGCAGGGTGCTTCTTGGCATGGGGTTCCACTGGACATTGCCATAGGAACGTAGAAGGCACGGGTCTCTCTAACGACAGGACCCCAGACCCCCGACATCAAGATTTGTTCACACCGTCGACCCCCAGAGGTCTGGACCCCTTCCCCGGGACCGGCCTTTCATCCTGAGTCCTTCTTTGACGGCCCCGAGGCCCGGGAAGGGCCCCGGAGGCCGACAGAGTAGCGAAAAGCCTCCCGTCCTGACTTCTTCACCACGCGAGGAGGTCTGGGTCTCGGACGACAGGACACGAGGGCATGCCCTTGGCCTCTGTCGGCGGTGGACAAACCTCCCTTTAGTAGACCTCCCCGTAGTGACAACGGCCTGGGACCGAAACCGACGGACCCGGACCCGCAAAAATGGCGGCCGCGACGCCCTCCCGCGAACCGAAAACGGCCAATTCCTTAATCGACGTGTCAGGGAGGTCTGTCCACCCCCGAAAAGAGTAGCGAAAAGCCTCCCGTCGTGACTTCTTCACCACGCGAGGAGGTCTGGGCCTCGGACGACAGGACACGGAGGAGGAGGAGGAAAGGAGGAGGAGGAGGAGGACGAGGACGAGGAGGAAAGGAGGAGGAGGAGGAGGAGGAGGAGGAGGAGGAGGAGGAGGAGGAGGAGGAGGAGGAGGGGGAGGGGACCAGTTGGGGGAGGGCGTGCCCCTCGGCCTCTGGCGGGGCCCAGCCGCGCGCATGCGGGGCCGAGGGCGGCCGCCTCCCGTGCCTGCCCAGGCCCCCCGCCGCGCCCCGAGGCCCCCCCCCCTCTTAAGCCCCGCGCGCCCCAGAGGTCCCCGTGGCGAAGGTCCGGTCGGGCATGTCGTCCTACATTTTTTTTTTGGCTCGCGGCTCCAAGGAGATGTCCAGGGAGCGGGCTTGACGCCTGGGGCACGGAGCGAGACAATTGGCCTCAGAGGCGTCATCCTACAGAAGGGGAGCAAGCACAAAACATAAACATGACTACTCGGAGGCCCGCCCGGACTTCTCGGATCGGCGCTGGCGCCCCCTGGCCGGCGCCTCTGGCGCCGCCCCTGGCGCACTCCGCCTCCGCGCGCCAGGGAGGGGTGTCCAGCGCCGATCCGAGAAGTCCGCGCGGACCTCCGAGTAGTTATGTTTATGCCGCTTTCTGTTCCCATGCTACAAGCGTATGTTTGGAAGGTAAAAGTAGAAAATAGCCGAAAGACGCCCCACAAGTGCGCAAAAATAATCAGAACATCGTCCCCAGACTAATTTTTGATTACTTTTGAATTGTCCTCCGACTTAAGGCGAAGGGCCACTCCCTCCGTGCGGCCGAGAAGAGCTCGAGTTCAGTAGGGGCTCGACCACAAGAACCCTTCCACAAGAAACCCAGCCCTGCAATCCCAGGAAATCCATTGATTTTTGGCATGGGAGCGTCACGCTGTCCATGACAAAATCCAAGAAACCTAGGGCACCCTGGAGACAAGCAGAGTTTTTCTTGGCATGAACCCCCACTGTAGGGGATCGGCTACAGCATGGGTTTGCCCCAGACTTGATTTGCTCGTCGGGTCTGCGAAAACCACGCGGAATGGTCTGCGAGGATTCCACGCACCATTTTTGCCGTAGGCTCGACGAGGGAATCAGGCTTTTGGGGCAAACCGGTTATGTAGTCGACCCCCTACTTGGGCGCCCGAGTTATCCGGGGTAACTCGGGTCCAGGGTAACTCGGGTTTGGATTCCCGGAAAAGGAACCCGAGTTAGCCCTGACCCGAGTTACCCCTCATGATGTGGGGCTCTGGACGCCCGAGATATCCGGGGTAACTCGGGTCCGGGGTAACTCGGGTTTGGATTCCCGGAAAAGGAACCCGAGTTAGCCCTGACCCGAGTTACCCCTGATGATGTGGGGCTCTGGACGCCCGAGCTATCCGGGGCAACTCGGGTCCGGGGTCACTCGGGTCTGGATTCCCGAGGCACGAACCCGAGTTAACCCCGACCCGAGTTACCCCTGATGCTTCGAGGCTCTGACCTACTTCGAGGTGCGGGAGCGGAGCGCCACCCGAGCGCGCCTGGCGGCTGCCCCGCCCTCTCGGGAGCGGCCAAGAGGGGGGTGTCCAAGAGGGGGGGGTGCAAATCATGACCGGCGGCATGTGCGCGGCCCAGCGGGGGGGCCTGGGACGTAATAAAACAAAAAGAGGCGCCATGAAATCTGCGGAAAAATCATGGCCGGCGCCATGAAATCCCCCCACCACCCCTAGTCATCACCCCCCTCTTTTCCGCTCCCGACTCTCCCTCTGCAGGTCGGCCCCGGGCCAGAGGAGCACCCCTCAAGCCTCCGCCGGGCATGGGCGCACCGAGAGAGCACATCCCGCGGGGGTGTGCCCTTCCCCGGGAGGAGGCACGAGAACGCCCCGCAGGCACGAGGAGCGCGAGGGCACCCTCCCCGAACCGACCTCGGTTAAAACAGGGCTCGGGAATGGCGAGCACGGCCATGCACCCCAGCGTGGCGGCAAGGCCGACGTTGACAATGGCCAGGAGGCCCCCACCACGCCCGCCAGTCCGACCCTTCCCCTCCCCCCGCGTTCACCCTGGCCTAAAACAGGGCTGGGATCGGGATAAATCGCTCCAGAGCGTTCCGGAGCGCTCTCGGAGCGCTCTCGGAGCGTTCCGGAGCGCTCTGGAGCGGCCGCGGCGCCCAAAATACATCCTCCAAAAACCCGCCGATCCTCAGAGATTTCGAGCTATATCCCGATCCGATTTTGTCCCGACCTTCGCGTCGTTTTCTCTGATGCCTCGGTCCGACCGCACCGGCCAGACATGTCTCGGGCGCCTGCGAGCCGGAGGGCTGTCCGCGAGAGCCGCCGGGCGAAGAGGCCCCCGCCAGAGCCCCGCGGAGAGGGGCTGGCCTCCCCCCCCCCCTCTCTCCGCGGCGGGCATCCAGGGGGGCCGACCCCCTGGAAGAGTGCGCCCACGCGCGCGGGCGCGGGAGCGAGCACGTGAGCGATCACAAAGAAGCACCGTCGTCTGCTCTTCCTCTCTCGCTTCTCCTGCTGCTCTTCGGGACGGGCGCGGGGAGGAGTGCCCCCATCCCGCGCCGCGGGGCGTGCACGGCGGGGCCGCGCCAGCAGGGGGGGCGGGAAGTGCAGGGGGCATGCAGGGCCCGAGGCATCAGAAGCTCGGATTTTTGTTGTAATGCACGGGCTCCACGAAAGTCCCGACCCTGTGCCCAAGGCTGTCTTTTCCTCCCGGGTCGCTCTTTTGCACGGTTTCCCCCGTGGCCGTAGGCGACCCGAGGAGGAGGAGGAAGAGGAGGAGAAGGAGGAATCGAATAGACAGGCTGGATAGGCGATCGCCACGAGTCGGACCGGCGGGCAGCGGCAGCCTGGTAGGCCTCCAGCCCAAGAGATCATCGGAGCAGGAGTCGGAATCCGACCTCGAATCGGAAGGGAATCGGAAAGACTCGAGATCGAAATCGAATCGGATCGGAGGAATCGAAGTGAGCCCCGGCCCTGGCCCGCCTGCCCCGACAGCTCAGGCGGCGGGGCTGCCTACCGAATCTGCGGATGCGCCGCAGAGGATGAGGGGGAGGCACTCCACCGAAGGCCCCATGGCCACCGCCCACATGCGTCAACAACACCCATTTCGGCACACCTCTCACACGCTCCGTGGCCCCATAGGGAGCTCCACCGAAGGCCCCAATGCCACATCCCGCATGCGTCACCCACGCACATTCCGGCACACCCCTCACGCGTTCCGTGGCCCCGTAGGGGGCTCCACCAAAGGCGCCAGTGGCTGCGTTCGCATGCGTCCACAGCACCCACTTCGGCACACCCATCACAAGCTTCGCGGCCCCATAGGGAGCTCCACCAACGGCCCCAATGGCTGCGTTCGCATGCGCCCACCGCACCTCTTTCGGCACACCCCTCACACGCTACGTGTCCCCATAGGGAGTTCCACCGACAGCCCAAGTGGCTGCTTTCGCATGCGACCACCAGACAAATTTCGGCACACCCCTCGCACGTTCCGTGGCCCCATAGGGAACTTCTCCGAAAGCCCCAATGCCACATCCCGCATGCGTCACCCACTCACATTCCGGCACACCCCTCACGCGTTCCGTGGCCCCGTAGGGGGCTCCACCAAAGGCGCCAGTGGCTGCGTTCGCATGCGTCCACAGCACCCACTTCACACCCATCACAAGCTTCGCGGCCCCATAGGGAGCTCCACCAACGGCCCCAATGGCTGCGTTCGCATGCGCCCACCGCACCTCTTTCGGCACACCCCTCACACGCTACGTGTCCCCATAGGGAGTTCCACCGACAGCCCAAGTGGCTGCTTTCGCATGCGACCACCAGACAAATTTAGGCACACCCCTCGCACGCTTCGTGGCCCCATAGGGAGCTTCTCCGAATGCGGTGCATACAACGTCGGTACTCACAACTGCATATGGTTGGGTCCGTCGCCAGGCGATTGTTTTCTTCACAGGCCGCGTACAAGGGTTCATGTCCACTGAGGGCGGGGACCGCGCCTGAGCCACAAGTCCCCGCTCCAGTTCTCTTCCTCGTTCGAGTGAGGCTGCGATCGGGGCGCCTCCACAGGTGGTGTTGCCTGCTCTCGCGAACTGTCCCACACCTGTTCCCTTTCTCCTGTGCGCGATCTCCCCGACGGACGGGCATGTCTCAAGCCGGTGAAAAAACGGAGCGGAATGGGGGGGGAACATGGGGGAACGGAAGGAGGAGTGCGAAGGAGGAGAGCGAGGGAGGTGGCAAAGAGGGAGGAAAAGGGGGGAGGCAGAGGCGGAGGCGCAGGGGCAGGAGAGGGGGGCAGGGTGGGGCAGGGCGGGGGCCGTGGAAGGGACGGCGAGAGGGGGCACGGAGGCGACGGCTGGACAAGGAGGAGCTGAGACATCGGCAGCCCTCCAGCCTCCTCCCGTCTGCTCCACCTCCACTGATCTCTTCCGTCTGGCGCCTGCCTGGGGATGGCCCCTGGTGCAGAGAAGCACGCGGCGAGGTGTGCTGCCCAGACCTCCTCCTCCTCCTCCTCCTCCTCTCCTCCCCCTCCTCCTCCTCCCCCTCCTCCTCCTCCCTCCCTCCTCCTCTCCTCCTCCTCCTCCTCCTCCTCCTCTCTCCTCCCTCCTCCTCCCCCTCCTCCTCCTCCTCCTCCCTCCTCCTCCTCCCCCCCCCCCTCCTCCTCCTCCTCCTCCTCCTCCTCCCTCCTCCTCCTCCTCCTCCTCCTCCTCCCCTCCTCCTCCCTCCTCCTCCTCCTCCTCCTCCTTCTTCTTCTTCTTCTTCTTTCTTCTTTTCTTTCTCCTCTCTCTCCTCTCCTCCTCCCTCCTCCTCCTTCCTCCTCTCCTCCTCCCTCCTCCTCCTCCTCCTCCTCCTCCTCCTCCTCCTCCTCCTCCTCCTCATTATAGATAACTCCTCCCTGTCGCCTCCTCCTCCTCCTCCTTATAGATAACTCCTCCTTGTCGCACCCGGAGGCAAGTTTTTAGGGCGGGCCGGGCGTATCGCCAGAGATGTCCTCACCACGTATGACTCTGAAACTTCAAGAGTGGCAACAGTTTGACAGATGGGGGGCGGGTCGTTTTCAACATGTGGCTCTCGCCTTAGCGCCGCGCACATTCGTTTTCGAAATTTGGAAGAGCTTCACGGATTGAGGGCGGGTGGTTTTCAAAATGTGGCTCTCGCCTTAGCGCCGCGCGCGTTCGTTTTTAAACAGCTGCAAGAGTTTCACGGATTGAGGGCGGTTCCTTTTCATGATGTGGCTCTCGCCTCAGCGCCGTGCACATCATTTTTGTGCACGGGTTGCACGGATTGCCAGGATCAACGTACCAGAACTGGTGTTTTGGAAAGATTCAAGTTTACGCGGGCGCAACAAGTATGTTGATTCGCTGTGTTGAAGTCCCACAACTGGCGTTCTGGCAAGATTCTGGGTCGTCAAGACGCAGCAGTTAGGTTGATACGTGGCGTTGAAATCGAGAGAACAATGCTTCGGCACGTTTCAGGATCTTCAAACTGTTGCCTTCCAACGAGGTCCTCCTCCTTCCTCCTCCTCCTCCTCCTCCTCCTTCTCGTCGCTCGCTCGGGGGCATGGCACCCTCGTCTCCAGCGGCTCTCGGGGAGCCCAAGGCTCACCCCTGAGGCTGGGGGGCGAACTGCGCGGAGATCTGCGGGGGGAGATCTGGACGGGTTTCGGGAACTTCTTACTTCCACCGCCTTCCGCCGCCTTGCGCGGCGGAAGAGATGACAGCTCCTTCGATCCTCGAAGACAAGGCCTATTCTGGAACGCCTCATCTGCTGCCCCCCCCCCCGGCCAAGAGAGAAACAATGCGAGCGGTCCTCGGTGACAGCAGGGTACTTCGCGCGAGGGATCCGCTCCAGCATGCTGCAAGGCCTGGCCTCACCACAGCGCGAAACCGGCGGGTCGCTTTCTGGCGACAGGAGGGAGCAGTGCAGGACTGGAAGGAAGAAGGAGAGGTGGATGGGGCATTGGTCAACCTGTTCTGATTCGGCGCTTCGACACTGGGCAGAAAGGGGGGGACGGATGGGGGCTCTGGCGATCCGGACCTCTGCTATTAGTGCGACTGTTTGCAGCAGTGCGTCCATTATGGGGGAGACTCCGCCTGCTCGAAACAGGCGCCAGAAAGATCCTCCTCCTCCTCCTCCTCCTCCTCCTCCTCCTCCTCGTCAAGGTTGACTCCAGGGGGGGGAGGCAAGGGCGGGTGCGAGGGCCCGCGCCGATCGGCAAGACAGCGAATCAGAAAACGAGCTCCAGTCCTGTCTCGAATTTACTCTCTGCGTGGGAGCCCACACGCAACAACAACACCTGGGGGAGGGCATCCTGGCCCCTGCAAATTGCCCAAGGATTCCCACGGGGACGCGACGAGGCAGCCAAGCGAGCCCAGGAGGCTTTGAAGATGGCTCCCGGAGACTCCGAAGAGGGCGTCGAGAGTCCAAAACGGTCTGATGTGGCCTCAAGTTGCATCTAAGATGGCCAGAGTAGCCCCTGAGACGCCCCGAATGCGCAAGAACATACAGAACAATATGAGTGCTCCCAGTGTCGCTTGCCTACCCCATGCCTGTGTCTCGAGGCTGTCGCAAGATCGGATAAAGACGGCCAGCCACTGTTCGGGATCGTGGCAGTTGGCCCCGAGGGCCCCTGATATGTTGCCCAGATCACCCAGGCTGGCCCGACAAGGCCCCAAGAGGCCTCCATGAGTGCCCTCACGATCACCCGTACAGACATGCGTCCCAAAGGCTGGCACGAGAGGCCCAGAGAGGTCTCCGAGAAGCCTGGATGTGGTCCCAAAGCTGTGTCAGCTAGAGCCGTAATGTGGCCCAGCCTGGGGGGGCCGCCGGCAGAAGAAGCAGCACATTTAGGGTGTGCTTGGCGCGAACTAAGATCGTTTGTGAGAGCCAGCAGAGGAGCCTTGATTTTGTTTCCTATATGCTCGGATGGCGCTGCACATGCACAGCGACTTTTAGAAGGCGTTCCCACGTGCGTCGGCACGAGTGAGCGAACGCAAAAACGAATGCACATGAACGTACGCGCGCAGTGTGTACACTAACTACGGCGTGAGACTCCCAGCCGACCCGGGCGGGCACACTCGCCCTGAGCTCGTGGAGATGTTCCCTTCTCAATAACCGGCTGCGGCTCCGCAGCCAAAGATACACTGGCGGGAGCGCCGGGCGGCAAGAGGCACAATCTACAAGGCAGCGCTGGCCCGCAAGCCCAAGGGGCAGGATCAGCACAACAGGTAGGAGTCCAACTGCGACAATCTCTGCATCAAGGGGCATGGCAATCACCTGAAAGGTGGTGCCGTGAGCCGACGGCGGAGGAAAGCTCAAACACATCATGATCTACGGCGCCCAAAGACGCATTGTGTCGCGTTTCGCAGCGCAGAGGCTGCAACGGTTAGAGCTGTCATCATCATTGCATTACCAGCTGGCGGCTGGAACAACAGATGCTGGGAGTGGATCACTAAAGACAGCCGCCGTCATTGCAAGGAAAGGGCGCGAGGGAGCGGCGGTGTAAGGAGCCCGAACTCTGGCCATCTTCCAGGTGAAGGGATGATTCGGAGGAGGACGAGGAGGAGAAGGAGGAGCTTTCATCGATCAATGATGACCTGTGGCGACATGCCGAAACATCTGCACCAACGTAGGATCCGAAGTAAACTCCTACGATTAAAACTAATAGGACTATGTCCGCGCACGCGTCGCAAGCTTCTTAAGTTACGGGAAAAGAGGAAGAGGAGGAGGAAAGACGAAGCATGTGCATGGAGTGGTTACGCTGCTGCGCGCTGTTGGTTAGATTCAGCAGCGATGACCTATATCATGACGCGCATAGGGTAGCACCAAAATTCAAAACCAGACTAGCTACGTCCAAAACAAAATTGTGGGAACGATCCTCCGCGCACGGGGAAACGGACTGACGCGCATTGCGAATCAGATGAGCCAGCTGAGCACGGCACCATTTCCCGACAAGAACGGGAAGCGCCGCTTCTCGGAGCTTGCGTGCGCACGCGCGCACGGAGGTGCACCCAACACGCATGTGTGCGCATGGGGTGCAATCACTGGGATCCCCTGCATGCCCAGATGGTTGCCATTGGTAGCTTACGTTTAGTGGTTGCCTGCGTTTGCTTTGGTCAGGTGTTGCGCGTGGCGTTTGCACGTAGTGTGTGTGTGTGTCGTGTGTGAGTGTTGTGCGTTGTGTGTGTGTGTCTGTGCGTGTGCGTGCGTGCGTGCGTGCGTGCGTGCGTGCGCGCGTGTGTGTGTGTGTGTGTGAGTGTGAGTGTGTGTGTGTGTGTGTGCGTGTGTGTGTGTGTGTGTGTGTGTGTGCGTGCGTGCGTGCGTGCGTGCGTGCGTGCGTGCGTGCGTGCGTGCGTGCGTGCGTGCGTGTGCGTGCGTGTGTGTGTGTGTGCGCGTGTGTGTGTGTGTGTGTGTGTGTGTCTGGTCCTCCTCCCCGGTCCTCTCCCTGGGTTTGTGGTGGTTGGTATGCGCTTGATGCTGCTCGCGCGCGCGCTGAGGCAAACTTGTGTCAGCTTGTGTCGCTTGCAGTCGTCGCGTGCAGCCTCGCACACTTTAAGTTTTGTCCCTGGGCCGGCAAGCAGAATAATACATAGACAGCACGTGTGTGATTCCAGTGGTGCTCTCTGGGTTCGTGGGGGCCGGAGTCGCACAAATGACACAACTCTGAAGCCTGTATTTTCAATACTTCTGGGGAGCTACATGCTGTAACATAGTTATGTAAGTAATCTATGTCTCTGATTGTAGCTGTGGTGGCTCAGCCTGGTTTAGGCCACAGGCGCTCAAACCGTCGAGTACGGTGCATACTGCAGTAGGTCAGGTCGGGCCTCACCGAACGGGGATGTTGCGACAGTGAAAACAGTCTCTTGGTCGATCCTTGGTTCTGGGTCTCACTTACTCGGATATCTCTCTCATCACTTTACGTGTGGTCAAGTCCTCTGGAGCGGGTCCACACCCTGGCCTGGTGTACCACTGACTTTGCCTTCGTCCATACATATATACTCATACTTACGTTCCTCCATATTACGTTCTACATCGTGGTATTAATTCAAACACGATGCCACGAGTACCCAGGAAACTAACCTGTCTCTTCTGGTTCGTTGCCTGCTCAGTTATGCTCGGCGTGCAAGGTAGTGCAGTACAGGAACAACATGAACCACATCTCCGAGCCTTCCTCGCCACACGTCGCCCTCTATCTTGTTCAGGTACGAACTCCGAGATCGATGGGGAAATATGTCGGCAATGCGCCAGCATTTCTTCTTTAGGTCTCGCGCTGGGGTTTTCATCTTCTCTGCTATTCGGACACAAACCTGATCGCTATTCGAATGAGTTCGTGAAGCTTTGGAGCACCATTCTCTGGCATCTTGTAGTTGAGCGTCCGTCGTCAAGATTTGTCCAGGCGATCGATACCATGCAAGCGGAACTCCTCACCCTGGCAGGCGGCCCTTCAAAACTACCTCGTCATAGTCTGGAATTCCTTCTTACGCTCACTATTGCAAAAACCATGTTGCGTGTGCGTGCAAGCATACATCAAGGACGCCGGCAGGTGTGGTGGAGCACACACGCCACGTCGGCCATTCCCCTTGACGTCCAGCAAGCACTCCTTCGTACAGGTGAAGCGTCAGTAGTTCATGTTATCGCACTGGTCCGTTTTCTTCGCCTTCAGGTTGCTGGAGTTTTTGGCTTTTGTCCTCGCGGAGGTGTCCAGCGCCATTTCATTTACCAACTCGGCTACCGGGGTCGATACATAGGGCAAGCACGTCAATACCGCTCTGTGGGGTCAGGTACGGGCCCACTGATGAGGTTTCGAGAGCATCTGCGAGATTGGTTTGGAACTCAACGCCGTGCTGTATGCCCTCAGACACAGAGATACTCCACCCTTCTTCAAAAAGATGGCCCTGGAACATTTTACATGCTTTTCCTGACCCACACGGAGCCCGATAAGGTCTTTGGCCTTGAGTCTGCATTCATAAACATGTACCACCCTGAGGCGAATGACATCCCGACCCCCCCTGCCCTAGGACAACGACGACGGCGAGAACGGATCCAACCTCGCCGACGACGAAACGGACGATTTGGTAGATCCCAGCAGCAAGCACTCGAGCACGCTAGAGATTCAGATGACGTATGGCAGCAACGCACGTTGGAAATTATGTGCACTAAGTATGTTCGTCGACACGCATTTCTCACTCGACGTAGTGCTACGCAAAATGTTATTCGTGGTACCCTTCATGATGTATATGCACACTATCTCGATAGGCACTTTCAGCTTTCACGCACGTTTGGGCCCATAGATATACATATGGTTGGTGTTTTTCCCTTACTTATTAAACAGCTTGCCGTGAGGGCCCAGGATATCAAATGGGAACGAGCACGTGCATTACGCGCACATTCTGTCGATTTTCTTCATATTGTATGGTCTGCCTGCACACTGCTTCCTCACTACCAAGAGCGCATTCGAGCACGAGCGTATATAGCACACCTGGTGGCACGCGTGGGGAGCCCAATTCCTCGTCCTACCCATCTTCTTGTGGCCAACCGGTATTGGCGTCAGTGTGTACAGAGGTGGATTAGTGAGGTCCTCGCGTTGTACGGCCGAGATCGCCCCCATTGGGTGTCGCTGGTAAGGTCTACGTTGCACTTGGATGTTGCTACTCCCAACCCCTTGAAAAAGCATATCGTTAACACGCAGCGCTATCTCCAAACAGTCAAGGAAACTGATCTTCTCGAAAAAGATCCTGATATCCTGGCAGCGATGGTGGCCGGTGGGGATTTCAGTCGCCTTCCTGTACACGGTCGCACGCCGGTGCAACCGACGCTGAACGAGCAGCGGCGTGGAACACGACAGCGTTGTCTTGGGTGGTTGGCGCAAGCTGGCATTCCAAAGCATTTCATGGACTCCTTACCTTGCTCGATTCCTGCCTCAGGCTGTCACCCTTCCTCTTCAGCTGAAAGATTTGCCACGTGCACTTCGGACATGAATGCGTCGTTCCGGGAGGCTCGCACGAGCGTGGTTGTGTGCGTTGAAGACAAAGACCCTAACACGCTCTGGATCGCGAACCCTCGGCTTCTCGTCTTGAGGTGGTTGTTTCTATTATCTCGCGTCCCTCATAGATGGCGTCTTCGGCTAGTGGGTGTGTCGTATGTGCTACAGTGGTACCGTATGCTATTGGACTTTACTGTGCCAAAACCGCTATTCAAGGGAAAATCCAGGATGAGTGCCAAAAACTTACCATATATTTACCCGACAGTAAAGGCAAAATGTTGGGAAGCAAATAGAACTCACCGATTCCCCGACCCCAACCACAACTGCTTCAGAAACATAGTCTCATTCTGCAAGCTTCCTGGGCGCAAGATATATCGTTAAATTGGTCGGGGACTTTAGTATATAGTTAACTACGTCTCTCCAGGATGGAGCTTCCAGGACATGAAGTCGGCCCTCGGTCGTCTACAAGATAGAGTTCGTAACTTGCAGCCGCCTATCTGGTCTGAGTCCCAACAGGCCTACCAGTGCTGCGAGTGCGGTGGTCCCATGTACCACCCCTCCCTTGTCGTTGCTGACGCTGGCCAGGCTTACGAAGATCTGGCCACGGAGTCAATCTATGAAGCGGTGGACAGGGTTTTCCAGCGGATCAGCCTTTTCACCAAGCATAAAACTTTGACTGTAATTGAGCTTGGGCAGGGACATCGAACGGTCTGGGGAGGCAATTTTGAGGTTCCATATTACGACCGGGTTGTATTCTCCTTCACGTCGATCCGAAGAAGTATTATCGGTTTCCTTGGAATGCGGTGTTATCGTCTCGGGGGCATCTTCGTTGAGCAGACACGGGGCATCCCCATTGGGGGCCCCCTCTCCGGAGGCATTTTGAACGTCGTTCTTAGTGACAAGGAAACGCAGTACGACCACAAGAACCCAAATCGTGTATCCCAAATGGCCTGCGGTCGTTACGTGGATGATCTTGTGTGCTTATCGTATGTGTTGTGTCGGTGCTGTCTGAAGCGGAAATTACCACAGATATATCAGGGCGTCGTTTTCTTTAAGGTGGATGAGGATTTTAGTACGCTCCCCGATGGCACTATCAGCCAAAAGTTCCTCGATGTTGAACTTCACTTTCGCTTTCAAGTTCTTCGTCTAAATCCCGTTCATAAAACGAGCGATTCGCATGGAGCGGAAACCCAGCACACTTGGTTAAGAAGAGCATACCCCCTTACACACACTCGCAAGATCCTCGCGTACTTCGGGCACATCGGGCCGAACTCCGCGGACGTGTTTGTAGATGGGAGCAGATAGGTGTACCTAATAGCATTCTGGCCTATTTGATGCTAACAGACATGATGGTGTATCTACACTTGCACTATCCTTATCGTTTCTTATACAAGCTCTGGATTGGGTTATTTCCGCCCTCACCGCGTGAAGATATGGTATCTCTCTTACTTCGTCTTCTACCCCTCGCTTGTCCAGAACTCATTCGCCCTCGTGTGTGCCATCTTGGCTCCTACCACGATCATTGCGTTGAGGCTCAGAAGTTGGTCGAACGTGCCGCCAGCCCTCAACCAGCCGGTTTCGATCCAGCTCGCACGACCAGCGTCGCGCCTCTCCCAGCGATGGGCGGCAACGGCTACCAACACGGGGGCTGGCAGCAGGGCGGCAAGGGTGGCCGCGGCAAGGGGGGTTGGCAGCCGCGTGCCCCATACCAGCCGTACCAGCCGCCCTCCGGAGGTGGTGGCTTCGGAGGCTTCGCCTCCATCACGAACCAGTTCAACGACATGATGGGGAGCCTGGCGGCGCTGGGCCAGATGGCAGAGATCGGCACGGCGCTCTCCCGCCTCCACCAGGGCGGGTCGCTCCCGCAGAGCGGAGGCCAGCAGCCTCAGCCATCTCCGGCGGCTGCTCCGGCCCCTCAGGTGGGCACGCGCGAGGTGGCCGAGGCCCTCACGGGCATGCTCTCGGACGTGCAGCGCGACGAGCAGCAGCGGAACAGGGAGGGCGACTCACGCTTGACCACAACGATCCGCAGGCTCCAGGACTTCGTCGGACCTGACCCGCGGCAGCCTCGGTGTGCCACCAGCGAGGTAGACAATGTGGAGGCCTCCCCCGCGTTCCAACAGCTGCGCCGTCAAGTGCAGAGCCTCAGCGACACCCAGACGGAGCAACAGCGCACGATCGCGCGCATCGACAACACGACTTCCAACATGAGCTCCGACGTCCAGGCCGTCAGCAACATGATGCGTGAATTTCTCCAAGAGCAGCGTTCGCGTGGAGGTGGACCCGCGCGCCCTCCGGCTGCCGGGGCCGCTGCGGCGCACCCAGGGCCAATCATGAAAGCCACGATTGATGCCGATTTGCACGACCGTGTCCTACCGCACATTGGCATTACGATCGCCCGTCGCGAGGCGGCGGAGCTGAAAAACGACTGTCCGCTCAACTACGGGGCTTGGTGGAGCCGTGCGGGCAGGCTTAAGTCTGTTGCCCAATGGTCTGAGAAGCTCCAGCGCCTGGGTGCATCGGCGGATATGGTTCGGGACCTCACGATGGAGACGGCTGGCACGATATTGTACCAGCATTTGTCCAGCGACGGCCATGTGGTGGAGGATGTGCTCCAGGAGGCGCCGCCCCCGAACTGAGTGGTTTCCGACAGCGGCAGTCCGACCACATCAGCTGACCCACCTAGTGGATCTCGGATCCGTAGCGCCGCTGCCCGCCAGGATGTGTCCCAGTGTACCCGTCTCCCGCCGTTCCAGTTCTGCTTTCAGGCATGTGTAGTTGTAAGCACGCTGTTCTTCTTTGCCCAGATGTGCTTTGCAATGCATGAGACGCGCCTTGCATTTGGAGATCTTCTGTTTAACCTCTCTCGCACCCTGCCCTCCCTCTTACTTTCGCTCGTGACCACAGGAGTTTGGGGCGTTGCTGCGCGGGCCTTGCAGTGGTTAGTCAATAGCGGCCCGACCGCCGAAGAGATCCCCGCCTTCGAATTCGAGGGGTTCCAGGAACCGCCGATACCCAAGGCGGGGGAGTCCTCCACCATGGCCTCTGTCCCACTCCTCCTCATGGGTTTCAGATTTCTGCGCCGCCGATACCAGTGATCCGCGCCGGCCCCAACCCAGCCCGAGGCAAGTGTAGAACGTGATGAAGGCCCTCAGGGCATGAGACATCTTATCTGCCTCGCGGTCTTTTCTGGGTGGGCTGTGTGCGTGTGTGTGTGGTTCGGTTTCGGTCTTCCTCCGGTCCTCTCCCCAATAGCGTTTAACAGTTTTAACGCCGAACCCCGCCGGACGCCAGCATGTGTAGATAGCATGTAGCATCGCAGGCGGGGTAGCAGAGATGGTCCCTCTCCCTGGTTTGGTCTTCCTCCGGTCCTCTCTCTGGTCTGGCCTCCCTCCGGTCCTCTCCCTGGGTTTGTTGGTGGTTGGTATGCGCTTGATGCTGCTCGCGCGCGCGCTGAGGCAAACTTGTGTCAGCTTGTGTCGCTTGCAGCCGTCGCGTGCAGCCTCGCACACTTTAAGTTTTGTCCCTGGGCCGGCAAGCAGAAGAATACATAGACAGCACGTGTGTGATTCCAGTGGTGCTCTCTGGGTTCGTGGGGGCCGGAGTCGCACAAATGACACAACTCTGAAGCCTGTATTTTCAATACTTCTGGGGAGCTACATGCTGTAACATAGATATGTAAGTAATCTATGTCTCTGATTGTAGCTGTGGTGGCTCAGCCTGGTTTAGGCCACAGGCGCTCAAACCGTCGAGTACGGTGCATACTGCAGTAGGTCAGGTCGGGCCTCACCGAACGGGGATGTTGCGACAGTGAAAACAGTCTCTTGGTCGATCCTTGGTTCTGGGTCTCACTTACTCGGATATCTCTCTCATCACTTTACGTGTGTGTGTGTGTGTGCGTGCGTGTGTGCGTGTGCGTTCGTGTGTGCGTGTGCTTGTGTGTCTGTGTGTGCCTGTGTGCGGCTGCACGCGAGTGTACGGCTGTACGTACAGCGGGTGTGCTGGTCGGGCGGGACGGGGCGGGGGGTGTACGGCGTGCGTGCGGGGTGTGTTATGAGGGCGACGGGCGGGGGGGATGTACGGCGTGCGTGCGGGATGTGATATTGGGGCGACGGGCGGGGGGAAGTACGGCGTGTGTGCGGGATGTGCTATGGATTTTGGCCTCTTGGGACCCTCTTGGGACGGCCCTTGGGCGCCTCGTGGGGGCCTCTTGGGCCGTCTTGGGCGGTCTTGGGCTCTCTTGGAGCGCTCTTGGGCCGTCTTGGGGGGGAGACCCAAAAACCATGCAAACACCCGAGGGAAAACAGCCAAAAACGGGGGGGAAATCCGAAACACATGCAACAACCCAAAGGACAACTGCCAACAACGGGGGGGACACGCGAAACACATGCAAAAACCATATGGCAAATTGCCAAAAACGGAAGGGGAAACCCGAAAACCATGCAACAGCCCGGAGGAAAACTGCCAACAACAGGGGGGGAACCCGAAAAACATGCAAAAACCCGAGGGAGAGCGGCCAAAAACTGGCAATCCGCCAAGCAACAAGTATTTGCAATCAGGCGGCCATGGTCCCTCGCGCTTTAGTTCTTTATTTATTCTAAGAGAGCTTGGCCTAACAAACTGCCAGCGCCTTCTCGTTCCGAGAAGGCGCTTCCCGTAATCCGCCGACCCCCTTGGGGTTCATCGGCGTGTGAGATGCTTCCCCCTCCCGAAACGCCTCCCCCGGGAGCACGGTCCAGTCGATTTGGAGGGGGTGTCTCCCCGGGCGGCCGGGGTGGGCGGGCGGGGGGCCGCTTAGAGGGCGCAGGATCGTATGCTTCTTACACCACAGGTATAGCTGGGTGCAGTTTACATGTATCTTAAGCGTTGGTCTCGCCGCGTAGCTATACTTGTACGAAGTATAAGTAGATCGCTGGTTGTTTCCTGAGGGTGTAGGAGACTTGCCAACTATCACTAAGCTACTCACACGGTCTGAACATGACATACACAACAGTAGCATAGAAGTAACTTATACGTAGTTTAGCTCCCCATTCCATCCCTCCTCGTTCCTCTTCCCCTCCCGGCGCGCCCGCCCGCCACGGCCCGCACGCAGGATGGGGGAGGCAGCGATGGCGATCGCTCAGGGGAGGGGGGATGGGGAGGGCAGCGATGGCGATCGCTTGGGGAGGGGGAAGAGGGATGGGGGAGATAGCGATGGCGATCGCTTGGGTGAGAAGGCGGGGGATGGGGAAGGCAGCGATGGCGACATCCTGGGGGAGGAGGAGGAGGAGGAGGAGGAGGAGGAGGAGGAGGAGGAGGAGGAGGAGGAGGAGGAGGAGGAGGAGGAGGGGGAGGGGGAGGGGGAGGAGAGAGGAGGAGGAGGAGGAGGAGGAGGAGGAGGAGGAGGAGGAGGGGGAGGAGGGGGGAGGAGGAGGAGGAGGAGGAAGAAGGAAGAGGAGGGAGAGGAGGAGGGGGAGGAGGATTTTTTTTTTTTTTAGGGTCGACCCATGAACAGCCACATGACTCCGCTGGCGTGGCGAGTGCCAGCGAGAAGCACCAAAAACGGTGCAGGCCGCGCCACGGTCGGGGCCATGCCCCCGTGGCGCGACCTAAGCGCGACCAGGGAGCGCGGGAAAAAGCTCCGCGCTCCCTGGTCGGGGTAGGGGGCGCGAGCCGTGCTCAGCGCCAACCCTACCCACCACCCACTCCATGGGTGGCCGCGTTTTACGGCCCCGGGACCACGACACGACGCGACACGACAGGGGGACGAAACGAACGACGCGACACGAACGACACGAGACGGACGAGCGACACGACAGGACGAGCCGCCAGCCCCGCCCCAGGGCGGCGAGTGCTGGGGGGGACCCAGCACCGCCCTGGGGAAGCACACGGGGCCGGCGACCCCCCCGGGGGAAGGAAACCGCACTTTGGCGGCGTCCCCCGGGGCGCGGGGGATTTTCGCCCCTCGGGCCCGGCGCTCCCCGCCTGCGCCAGGAGGACCCTGGGGTCCCGACCCCTCCCCTACGGGAGGGGCCCCCTCGGGGCAGGAGGAGGAGGAGGAGGAGGAGGAGGAGGAGGAGGAGGAGGAGGAGGAGGAGGAGGAGGAGGGAGGAGGGGGAGGAGAAGGAGGAGGAGTGTAAGGGGGGATGGAGGAAACAGCGATGGCGATCGCTCGGGCAAGGTGGACGGGGATGGGGGGGGTAGCGATGGCGATCGCTTGGGGGAAGAGGAGGAGGAGGAGGTGGAGAAGATCCGGAGGAGGTGGACGGCGAAGCGATGCCGATCGCTGTGCGGCAATCGCTGCGATCGATCGCTATGCATAGCCGTGGGCGGCTTTGCCTTCGCGCCGCGCGCGCGCGACGCGAGTGGCGCCCGCGGGCACCATGGCGGCCGAACTGGTGGAGCAGCTGAGGGCCGCCAGGTCGCTCCTCTCCCAGGTGTCGGGAGGAGGTCCGGCTCGTGCGCGGAGACCTTGGAGGCGCAGGGCACCACGGCGCTCGCCATCATGGCGCCGTGGGCCTTCAGTTCCGCCGAGGACTCGGCCGTGCTGGTCCTGGAGATCGGCCATGGACGCCCGAGTTATCCGGGGTAACTCGGGTCTGGGGTAACTCGGGTTTGGGTTCCCGAAAGACGAACCCCTGATGATTCGGGGCTCTGGACGCCCGAAATATCCAGGGTAACTCGGGTCCGGGATAACTCGGGTTCGGAATCCCGAAAAGCGAACCCGAGTTAGCCCTGACCCGGGTTACCCCTGATGATTCGGAGCTCTGACATCTGCCTTTCAACAAGTAGACGATGGCCAAGCTGCTCGGTCGCGCCACGGAGTTGGCCACGTCCTCGGCGCACATGCTGGCCGCTAACGCGGCCGCAGGCGCGGGGCTGATGGGGTCGAGCAGGACGCCCATGCAGGACTTCACGCCCATCCTGGCCTACCTGACGAAGAGGCAGTGGGACAAGCTACTGGACGAGCGCAGCGACTTTATGGGTCGGGTTGCGGTCGTGCTGCAGGCTTGCAAAGATCTCGGGTGGCGCGCGCTGCTTGAGCCGACCATCCAGTTGGCGACGTGCGTCGCCCTCTGGGTGGACGGCTCCGGTTGGGCGATGCGCATGTGCCCGATGGCCCTGTGGGGCTGCTTTCAGCGGGCGAAGCACTACGCTACAAAGCTCCTGCCGTGGAAGTTGTGCAAGCACTTGGCCGCGTCGGGGCCGCCCTTCGCCAGCGACCTCCCTGGGGGCCCGAATGGCAGGCGGAGGAAACGCCCCGAGTGGTACTCGCGCGCGCATGGCGGCGGAAGGGGGGGGGGCCCGGCAGCCGAGCGCCCGCGGGACCGCGCCGTGTTGATGGCACTGTGCGACGCGGCCCCGATGCGAGAGTCCAAGGCTCGCCTCGAGAGCCAGTCCTAGGGGAACAAAAAGTGGCATAAGCATTTCAACTCCGAGGTCCGCGCGGATTTCTCGGATCGGCGCTGGGGCCCCCCGGCTGCGCGCCGCCCCTGGCGCGCTCCGCGCGCCAGGGAGGGGTGTCCAGCGCCGATCCGAGAAATCCGCGCGGACCTCCGAGTTTTTATGTTTACGGCAGGTTCGTGTCGTGCCGACCCCAGCGTTGGTTTTTGACACCGCAGGGATCGTTCAACCTTGAACGATCGGCCGCTGCCGCAACGTCCGATCGTTCAACATCGATCGATTCTGGGTCGCCGGCGGCGTTCAACCTTGAACGCTCGCGCTGGGGTCGCCGCGGGTCGACACGACGCAAACCTACCGTATGTTACTTCCTGTTCCCCTAAGTCCGAGACCAACCGATCGACGACCGACATGGCTCTGCAGCTCGCGGAGAGGGCGATGACGATGCAGAGTGGCGGCCGCCAGGCTGCGCGAGGCGGCCTGGCCTGCAGGCGTTGCGCTCCGAAGCTGCCCCCTGCGCCCGCCAAGGACGGCCCGGCTCCCATCGGCGACGGGGGGCCCGCGACGTTGCCAACGCAAGCGCAGCCGACAACGCGCAGCGTGGAGGCCAGGAAGAAGATTGACGTGAAGTTCGATGGCGAACGGCCGTCCGCGAGCACGAGGCCGCCGAGCGACGGCGAGTCGGGGAGCCACGACGACTCCGACTCCGAGGGCGCGACGGCGGCGGCGAGCCAGCGGAGCAGGCGGCGGCGGCGCCACCGATGAAGAGGAGGCGCACGGCCGCTGGCGACGGCCACCCCAAGGCCATTACGATCAGGTTCATCGCTAGTCCCATTCGCATCGCCAACTTTGGCTAATTCCCCCCCCCCGCCCCAACCCCCCGAACCCCACGCCCCGAGGCCAAGGCAAAGAACAAGAAGAAGGCCGAGCACGAAGGCCCGAATGGGGAAGTCGAAGGCCGAGAAGAAACCATCGAGGTCCTCCTACTCGGCGGAGTGGCCTCGCAACCTGGCCTGGTGCCGCACGGGCACGCCGGGCCCAGGCCAGTCGATAGCCATCAAAGTTCAGCGACCACGGCGGCAGCAGCGACAATGCGATCGCTGCGGCCAAAAAGTGTGTGCACAAGCAAGCCAAAAAGCTCGGCGTAGGCGCTTGATCGGGCCTGCGCATTCCGCGAATTCGCGCGGGCGCTGCGACGACGCAGCGCGCGTGCGCGCGCGGGGACACGTGGCCGACTACGCCGCCGAGGGTGGAGGTGGAAAGGGGGGGGCGGGGAAGGGCGATGGGGTAGGGCAGCGATGGCGATCGCTTGGGGCTGCAGCGATGGCAGATTGCAGCGATGACGACGATTGCTTGGGATTGCAGCGATGGCGATCGCTTGGGATTGCAGCTGTCGCTTGGAGGATGGCGAAGCTATAGTAGATATGATAGTGATGAGACGGAGGGGAGGCGGATGAGGTGGAGCAGAGTAGGGTAGAGACGGTAATCGTCACAGGTGCTCTAGCCCCACCCAACTTCCGCAATGTGGGAGTTGAAAATATAGGGAGTAGAGACGATACTAATAATGATGAGGGGAGGCGGACGAGAGAGGTCGGGAGCACGACCGCGAAGCTAGAGTAGGGATGATAGTGTGCAGCACCTTCGGCCGCCGATGTGGATGGGGATGGAGTAGCAGGAGGCGGGGGATAGATGGCGATCGCTGGGCATGTGCGAGCATTGCGCGCATAATTGCACGCATTACCATAGCCATCTTTGGCCCACGAGCGCGAAACTCGCGCGCCCGTCGCGCGCCCGTGGGCCCCCTCGCCAACGCCCGCGCCGCGGAGGGGGCGAGGAGGCCAGGGAGGAGGGGGCCACGCTGCGTGGGAGGGATCGTTCCTGGCCCATGCCACGACATCGCCCCCCTCCTAGGAAGATCGCTCCTGGCCCATGACACGACATCATCCCCCTCCTAGTCCCCACTCCCTTCCTCGACACCCCCGACCCAGACATCCGACGCCCTGACTTTTATCCAGAAAAACTCCTGGGAGGCCCCGTGCACCTTTCCCGGGGCCGGTGTTGCATCCCGAGCTGTCTTTGCTGCTGTCCTGGGGCCGTGCGAGGGGCCCCAGAAGATGCCGAAGACGGCCCCGAACCTCCCGCCGTGACTCCCGCTTCACGACGCGACCACGTCTGGGGACACGAGCAGCGCTGAACCCTCCTCGCCCGCGCCGGGGTTTTGCTGCCGCGTCGGCACGGCACGCGCACCCGCGCCCACCGCACCCTCGCCGCCCCCCCCCCCGCCTGCCGAAGCACGGGCAGGGCAGCCCTCGCCGCTCCCCTCGCTCGGCTCGGCGCCGGGCGAGCCGGCGCCGACGGCCGCTCGGCCTCGGTGCACACGGGCCCTCCCCCGGGCCAGGGCGCACCGCCTGCCCGAGCTGCGCCAGGAGGCCGCGGCGACCAGGCGGCCCCCCGAAGGCCCACGCCCGGTGTCTCAGCTGCCCCTCCCCCCTCGCCCCCCCCCGATCGACGCCCCCGAGCAATGGGGGGGAGGGCGCGAGAATGCGGGGCGCCATGGGGCGCCTTCTTGGTGCCTCCGCCCTTGGCGGGCATTTCCAGCTCCTGCCGCCACACAGCGGGCGGCGGTCCGCCGCTGCACGCCGTCGTGATCGTCGTCGTCGTCGTCGTCGTCGTCCTCTTCCTCCTCCTCCTCTTCCTCCTTTTCCTTATAGATAACTCCTCCCTGTCGCACCCCAAGGCCGGTCGAAAGGGCGGGCCGGGCGTTTCGCCTGAGACGATTACAACAGCTTCACGGATGGAGGGAGGTCCACTGCCAAAATGTGGCTCTGGCCTTCGCGCCGCGCACATCCGTCTTGAAAGTTTGTAGGAGTTTCACGGATGGACGACGGTGCGTGTTTCTCCATGAGGCTCGCACCGTAGCGCAGTGCACATTCGTCTAAAAAATGGCAGCACTTCAGGGATTATCATGGCTAACGTCAGGGCGCAACAGTCACGTTGATTCGCGGTGTTGAAGTCCCAGGAATGATGCTCTGGCACGATTCAGGATCGTCAAGAGTCAAGACGAACAAAACATGCCGAAGTCCGATGGAATTGCGTTCTGGCACACGTCCAGAATTGCAAACGGTTGTCTTCCAGCGGAGCACGTCCCTCAGTGGAAGTGGATCCTTGAAGGGCATGTGAAGAGGGAATTTGGAGGAAGGGTTTACTGCAATATCGTTGATGCGTCTTGGGTTTACACTAGTCCTCCCTCCTCCTCCTCCTCCTCCTCCTCCTCCTCCTCCTTCCGGGCCGATCGTTGTCCTTGTCCTCCTCCTCCTCCTCCTCCTCCTCCTACTCCTGCCTGCTCCTTGGCTCCCCCGAAACGCGGCAAGTCCCAGTTTGGCTCAACGCGTCGTTGCGGCGCCTTGGACCAGCCCCGAGCCTTCGGGATGCGGACGTGGGACCCGATGCCTGCAGGTCTCGACCACGCCCCCCAGACCGACGTTGCCTCCTGATAGTTTCCCGACGGCACTGAGGCCTGGTATAGAAGGAGGCCCCACGGGGCCGAACACTGCCAGAACCCCTCCACCGCCAGGTGAAGACCAGATATCACAGCATGTGATCAGAATTGCACCCTTGCGGCCCAAAGCCCTCAGGCTCGTAGCTGAGGCGCAAGAGAGGAGCATGGACGGAGACTCCCAGAGCGACGCAAAAGAACAGTGGGAGACCGCGGGAGACCACGGGAGACGGAGGTGCACCGTGGGAGAACGCGGGAGACCAGGGGGGGGACAGCAGAGGACCCAACAGGCGACAAGGGCAGACCATAGGAGACAGTGGAAGGCAGCGGGAGATCATGCGAGGCCCTTGGAGACACTGGGGGGCAACGGAAGACAGCGGGGAGACGACGAGAGGCACTGGGAGACCACAGACGACAAGGGGAGCCGGTGGCGCGCCACCGCTTCCGGACCACGGTCCCCACGCATGCGGCTTCATGGACGAAACGTGCAGTAGACCCTTGCAGACATCTTGTTTAGGGAAACCTCTGGAGGCCCGCGCGGATTCCTGGGATCGGCGCCGGACCCCCCTCCTTCGCGCGGAGCGCGCAGGCGCGGCGCCTGAGGCGCCGTCAGTGGGGTGCGGTGCCGATCCAAGAAATCCGCGCGGACATCGGGACATGTAGTATGCTTCGCTCAGTCTGTCCGTTTTCGAAGTGTCTCCTACTCCTCCTCCTCTTCCTCCTCCTCCTCCTCCTCCTCCTTTTCGCCCCCCCCCCTCCTCGCCGTAGGCGACCCGAGGAGGGGGGGCGAGGAGGGGGCGAGGAGGAGAGGAGGAGGAGTAGGAGAGGAGGCGGAGGGGAGGAGGAGGAGGAGGAGGAGGAGGAGAGGAGGAGAGGAGGAGGAGGAGGAGGAGGAGGAGGAGGAGAGGAGGAGGAGGAGGACGAGGAGGAGGACGAGGGGAGGTGGAGGGGGGAGAGAGAGGAGGAGGAGGAGGAGGGGAGGAGGAGGAGGGGAGGAGGAGGAGGAGGAGGAGGAGGAGGAGGAGGAGGAGGAGGAGGAGGAGGAGGAGGAGGAGGGTGGAGGAGGACGGGTCGCCGAAGCACTTCGGAGACACCCTCCAGGTCCCGAGAGCTCGCCCTCCTGAAAAAAAAGGCTGCCGGAAGGCCGAAACGCAGCAACTGCTTAGGTCCTCCAGCAACCTGCGGAAAATCCATGATTTGGGCGCCGTCGGGCCCTCCTGGAGGACGTCTTTGGCGCGTCTTGGGCGGCGACCCCCCTCGGCATCGCCTGGTCCGTCTCCTGCCTGCCGGCTCGGGCCCCTCCCGGGCCCTCGGGTGTGGACAAAGAGACCCCCTCCTGGTGAGGGCGGCACCGGGCCCACGCCGGCGGGCGCCGGCCCGCGACAGCCGCCGCCGAAAAACACCACCTCGAGAACCGAAAGACGGAGCCAATCCGCGAGTTGACTGAGCAGCGCAGGGGTTGTACAGTGCGGGCGCGGCCGCAAGAAACCCTCGCAAGAAACCCAACCCTGAGAACCCGTGTGCGAGGTGCACCTGAGGAGGGGAAACCCGGAGCACCCTGAACGCAGCAGCTCCTTCAACGGCTGCGGAAAGTCACCGCGCAGCGCGAGGAGCGAAGAAACCCAGGATACCCTGACGAAACGCTGATGGTTTCTTGATGCGCACACCACTGTACAGTCAACCAGTATAGTAAGAATGCGCGGCATGGGTGCAAGGGCCTTGGGCGCCCATCTCGAAGCTTCTCGAGCGGGGCGTGGCGAGCGAAAGTGGCAAAGGATGGGCCGAGGAGGCGAGGATGCAAGGGTACCCTTGGGAAGGTTGCCCATCCTTACTATCATGGTTGGTTGTATATGAAAAGGCTTGGGGTCGCCCACGACCAGCCACCAGGTGGGCAATTTCGGAAACCCTGGAACCCAAAAGCGTTTTCATCTCTTGGGGGCGCACCTCTGACCTCCGCCGCCTTCCGCCAGCCTTCCGCCAGCTTCCGCTGGCGGAGGCGGCCTCGCTTTACTTCCGCCGACCTTCCGCCGACCTTCCGCCGCCTTCCGCCGCGGAAGAGGTGATGATCCCTTCGATCCTCGAAGGCAAGGCCTTTTCTGGAACGCCTCAGGTATTCCCATCTGGCCTCAACAGATATCCGAGTAGTCCCCGCCGGAGGCGGCGCCAGGGCATTGAGAAGACCGCCCCTGGCCACTCGGGGGACCTGGTGAGGCCAGCTGGGGCTGCTCGGGGGGGCCTGTTGAGGCCAGGCGGGACTGCCTGGGGCCTGGGGCCTTGGGCCTGGGGAGGAGGAGGAGGAGGAGGAGGAGGGGGAGGAGGAGGAGGAGGAGGAGGAGGAGGAGGAGGAGGAGGAGGAGGAGGAGGAGGAGGAGGAGGACGCCCACGACCACGAAGGGAGTGACCCAATTCACATGCAACAGAAACAAAACAAACGAGTTAGGAGGGGCCAAGGCAGCCGAAGAGGTCCTCCTCCTCCACGGGGAGTTCACCTCTGCAGCGCCTGGCCTCGACCTCGGCCCCGAGCTCCACGACCTCCGCCCTCGACAGACCGAGCAGGGCGAGTCCTCGCACACGGTCGGCGGCGGGACCCTCGCCGCGCGAGGGCTGGGCCCCCCGAGCAACTCTCGGAGGGCGGTCGCGGCCCAGGGCCCAGGCCTCAAAGTAGGGCCTCCCATCCGAGCGGACCTCAGGAGAGGGGGCCCCCGTGTATGCCATCGTGAGCCCTCGAGGATTCCGATGGGCAGGATACCGTCCAGCACGAAATCGGTCAAGGTAGAACCCCCGCCCCCACGACGCGACAGGACGACACCTCAACCGAAGATTCCCCCGTTTCGTGCTGGAATGTGCCATAGCACCACACGCCGTGCAGCACAGCATAGTATCGTGATACGTGCAGCCATCCGACTCATAAACCACCCCCTGTTCAAGGGAGTGTCCCAGTTGGAGCCATGCTCCTGGGGTCGGGGGGTTCTCAGGAGGCGGCTCACCAGAGTTCGCACCAGGGGTCACACCAGGGACCTCCCCCACACCTGGCGCACCCAGAGGCACCCCGCACTGCGCACTTGGCTCACCATCCCCAGGGTCCGAACCAGGAAGGGGGAGGCCAGGGACCGCGTCCAGGAGGACGTAGCTGAGCCATTCCAACCCTTGATGATCGTTCAGGGCTAAATCTCTGCACTCCGCCTGCTGCCTGGCACTGTACAGCCCTACACGTCGGACGAACTCAGCATATCCAGTCACAAACTGGCGGTCCTCGCGCGAAACTCGGAATGGTTCAGCTCCTTCCTTGGCGAGTCTGTCCGCCTCTGAGTTCCCGAAACGCTGCATTTCCGTGATACGGCCATCCCTAACATCAAACATCGACGAGTGAGACGGGATCTGATGCACCGCCAAGCCCTCTAAACGGTCCCCAATCTCCGCCCACCAGTGGGCTCGGGCCGAGGCCGCACCAGCAGCCCCCGAGAGGTTTCGAAGGCAGCCGACCGTGGCCGCACAGTCCACATGAAGCGAGACCCCTGAGGAGAGGACCGAGCGGCGGGAGAGCATCAGTACAGCGAAATCCTCGCCATCCCGTGCCTGTTGTCCAGGCGCTTCCCCGAACGGCACGACGCCAAAAAGGGCTGCGAGGGTCCTCCCGAGCCTGTCCAGCACCACAACAGCCCACCCCGCGGTCCCGAGTCCTGTGAGCTCCCATTCAAAGCCCGACCCGTCCGTGAACACATGGGCCCCCTCAGGAATGAACAGGGGGCCGTCCTGAGGCCACTGAAAGTGCCTGGTGCACGGGTCCTGCGGGTCGCGGGGGGGTCGCTCCACCCAGGCCGCAGGGTTGGGGAAGAGACATCTGCTAAAAAGTTCTCCAGCCGAAGTGGGGAGATGGCCAACCGCACGAGCCGCCCTCTCAACCACGGGATCCAGGTTCTCGCGCCGCCAGGGAGCGAAGGCCACGCACTGAAACCTGCGATGGTACAACGTGCCCCTACCATCTCCACAAAGCTGGCATTGGTCAGGGGCCTCTGGACTGTGCTCGCACACTCTGTGCTGGCACCAGTACACATTCGCACACAGAGCTGAAAGAGCTGCCTTGTGCGACTTCGTCCACGACTCC